TTTCCATGGAGAAGTCAGGTGTAATTCTTATAGGTTTGCCTTTATATGTTATTTGACCTTTTTCCTTAGCTGCTCTAAGTATTCTTTCTTTATTCTGTATGTTTGGGGTTTTGATTATTAGGTGGCAAGGGGACTTTTTGTTGTGATCCACTGTATTTGGTGTTCTGTAAGCTTCTTGTACCTTCATTGGCATGTCTTTCTTTATGTTGGGAAAGTTTTCTTCTCTGATTTTGTTGAATATGTTTTCTGTCACTTTGAGTTGGGTTTCTTCACCCTCTTCTATACCTATTATTTCACGGTGTTCCATATTTCCTGGATATTTTGTGTTAGGGATTTGTTGGACTTAAGATTTTATTTGATTGATGAATCTATTTCTCATAGAGTGTCTTCAACACCTGAGATTCTCTCTTCCATCTCTTGTATTCTGTTGGTTATGCTTGTATCTGTAGTACCTGACCGTTACCCCAGTTTTTCTATTTCCAGCATTCCTTCAGACTGTGTGTTTTTTTTTTTGTCTCCATGTCAGCTTTCAACCCCTTGCACTGTTTGAATTGTTTCTTGTAATTTTTGCTTCATGTTTTCTTCCCTTTCTTGCATTTGTTGGAGTTTTTGATTTGTTTTTTCTTCTATTTCTTGCATTTTATGGTTAGTTTTTTTCTTCCATTTCTTTAAGGGATTTTTCTCGCATCCTCTTTGAGGGCCTCTATCATTTTCATGAAGGCGTTTTTAAAGTCATTCCCTTCTGCTTTGTTCGCATTGGGGTGTTCAGGTCTTACTGGTGTAGAATCTCTAGACTCTGGTGGTGTCATATTTGTTTTTCTGTTGCTGAGCATGTTCTTATATTGCCTCTTCCTCATCACTTCTTCCAGTGGGTATAGAAAGAGTCTTTTCCTCTCCTGGTGTGTAGGCGACCAGGGTTCCCTTTCAGTGGATGCAAGCAAATCCAATACTCTCTGGCCTCTGCTCTCTGTCCTCTGCCCTCTGCCCTCTGCCCTGAGTGTGGGCAGAAGTGGACCAGCTCTCTCTGCAGGCTCCTGGTTGCTTGGTCGTCCATGGGGGGGGGGGCAGTCGACCTGGCTGTAGTCCCCAAGCCCAGGGGATCTGAGAGAGGGCGAGCGGGAGGAAACCAGGTACTCACCTTTGCCCTCTGCCCTAGGTTTGGGCAGAAGTGGCTATTATTGTATTGTATCTTGTATGTTTGTTATTATTTACATTGCATAATATAGATGTCTCCAATGTTTATTTACACAACAGAAATTTCTTTCACTTGAAATAATGACCAGTTGAAATCATGGCAGTTTTCAAAGTATAATATGTCAGAGATGATAAATACTAGCTTACTAATTTGTCTGCAAGGGGAGTCAAAAGATTGGTTTAATTTTCTCTAATATGTCAGAGCAGCAGAGAAGAGGAAGAGGAAGCAGGAGAAGAGCACGAGGAGGAAGGGGAAGAAGAGGGGGGAGGAGAAATGTCACAGCTGGGACAGGCATTATTTTCCTCTACAGGGTGGCAGTGAATCCCCTAGTAGAAACAGAGACCAGGGAAGGTGTGAGTCCTGAGAAAAACAGGTCATAAGTGGAAATACGTTTAGTTACTTACAGGTTTCCACAACTCCTGTGTGTGTGTGTGGACCTGTGACTGTGCGAAGAAGTCAGAGGTCAAAGTTGGGTCTCTTCATCACCTTCCACCTTATTTTTTGAGATGGAGTCTCTTACTGAACATGGAGCTCATCAACTCAGTTAGCTTGGCTTGCGAATGAGCTCCAGGGCTCCCCCTGTCTCTGCATCCTGCCCCCCCCCGCCCCCTCCCCTGTGTGGGATTACAGGCACATACCATTCCTGCAGACTTTTACCTGGGTGCTGGGGATTTGAACTCAGTTCTTCATGTTTGTATAGTGTGCACCTTGCCACTCGAGCCTGTGTAGACCCCACAAAGTGTTTATGGTGATGACCCATATTATGGTTGGTTTTATTGTCAATTGCCACAAATTAGGAAAGAGCCCAGATTCGAAGGGGCATTTCAGAAGGAAGGTCATGCTGCCTTTTGTCTAGGTGACCTCCCCACTTGCCACAAAATAGGCACTGGGTGGCCTGACTGTGGGAGTAACTATCAGTCATCACTTTTCATCTAGAGATTCTACTCTAAGACTACCTCGACAGTAGAGACCCAAGATCAAGGACTGACTCAAAGTTCTTAGCATCTCAGGTGTGGTTTGGTCATTGGTGTGTGTGTGTGTGTGTGTGTGTGTGTGTGTGTGTGTGTGTTTAACCCCTTGGTTCTGTTCCTCTAGAGCCCTGACTAAAACACCATGTCTGTGGGCACTCTCCTGCAGTGCCGTCTCTCCAGAAGTCCCTGCCCCTCACTTCCCTTACCACACTCTCAGATCCTCAATCTAGGCTTATGTAGATGGAGAAACAGGTGGTAAGAATACTTTTTCTGTTGCATCCGTCTTTTAAAATCTTTGACAAGGGCTGTGTGTGCACACTCATGCATCAAGGTGCGCATGTGGAGGTCAGAATGATTTTCAAGAGTTGTTTCTTTCCTTCCACCGTGTTGGTTCCAGTGATTGGACTCAGGTAGTCAGGCTTGGCAGCAATCCTTTACTCACCAAACCATCCCACTGGCCACAATTTTCAAAGACAAGCCAGAGTAAGATAAACTGGCCTTAAATTTCTAAAGAGATGTGTATAGCTTTGAAAAAGCGTGTGGTGGTCCACACATGAATCTCCGCATGTGAGAAGACGGGGCAGGAGGGTCTGTAGTTCAAGGATAGCCTGGGCTACATGACTGCCCAGGAAGTTTGGAGAAAGGAGAGCAACAAGGGAGGCCACACTTCTTATTTTCAGAGCATGCTGTGAATCCGTGCACACAGCAGACCTTTGTGTGGGAATTGATAGCTGTGTCAGTGGGACACAATGAGCTATTTTCAGTCTCCATGGTGAGTTGTACTGTCCAGAGCATCTCCAGAGGAAGTCAGGACATACTATGGTGCTGTACACCACACAGTCACCAGAGGTGGTACAAGCTTTTCAGAGCTCAGATTTTTACTGTTGTAAAAATTACTGTGCCCCAGAAATGCTGTCTTCCTTTTTCTGGAAGTGACAGGTTCCATCCTTGTTCAAGAAAACACCTGCTTCGATCCAGGTTAGGAAGCAGTCCCTTTCCTATCTACCCTTACATCCAAGTCACCCAGAGCTGTTTTAAAACTGTATTAAACTGTACTTCCTCCATGGCTCTGTAGCTCTTTGTCCTAAAGAAGGTACCTGTGAGTGACACATTGGTGGCACATGCCTATAACCCAGCACTGGGGAAGAAGCATCTCCTAGCACTTCCCACTGAGGATTAAAAATGAAATGTGATTTTTGGTGGAGACATTCAAACCGAAAGAGCCTGAAATTTTTGTTTCCCATAATACATTTCTCCTCACCAGTAATTTTTCCTTTTCGTTGGCTTCTTTCGTGCTGTTTTACATTCGTGTTGCTGTCCTTCTACTGTCTTTGCAATTCTCTTACTGTTCTTTTAGTTGTCACTTGAGGATACCTAAATGTGAGGGCTCACCCTGATGGACAACTTTGGGTTATGAATGCCTAGATTGGTAAAGCATACCTTATACATAATTAGATGATGACACTTCTGATCTAATGTGTGCTTTAATTCTCCAATGGATTCAATGCAGAACCTGCTGGCACAGAACTCAAAATCATGACAATTCTCCTGCCTCAGCCTTCTATATTCAACTTGGTTTCAGATTTTGAATAGGGTATTGGGAGGTGGTAGAACCCCATGCTTGGTTAGAGGAAGTGGATGGATAGGGCTATGTCCTTGGCAGTTTACATCTTGCCTTGGCCCTCTTCAGATTTCAAGTGAGGTGGGAAGCTTCTTCAGGACACATTTCCACCACCATGATGCTCCACTCAGTGCAGGGGACATTGTGACCAAGGACCAAACCCTCTGAAAACATGAGCCAAAATAAGTAATTCCTCCTGTTAGGCTGTTGTTGGTATTTGGGTGACAGTGACACAGAAGTAACTTTCAAGTCCATGTCACCTACCAACTGAGTGCTTCTCGGCTGCAGCCCACTCTGTGCTGGCTGCTGTGCAAGAGGAAACCAGTCTTCCCTGCCAGCTGACACAAAGCTTAAGGTAAGCAGGGGCAGAGTAGGCTGCTAGGGCTCTAGACAGAGGGAGTTCTCCTCCTATCCCCAAAGAGCCGTTTCCTTAGAGATAGGGACTTACACAGCCAAGAGAAGAGAGCCCTTAGCAGCTGGGTTTCCCTAGCCCACGAGGCACCTCCCAGGATGGCTGGGCAGCAGAGTGGCTTTCTATGAGTTTCTCAGCATTTTGCTCCCTGGCCTTCTCTAGAATGAGAGGTGAGTCAGCCCCAGTGCAGGATTGCCTTCCGCTTTAGATGCTAGCATCAGGGAAAGGCTCAGATCCAGGCATGTTTTAAAGATGCATGGATGTGAGAATGACAGACAAAGGCAACTTCAGGGCATTCCCTGTAAGTAGTGGAAATGAGCTGTTACTCCTTTGGTGACTACATGGCATCCCCTTGCTGTGCCTCTCTGCATACCTTTCCCAGAATTCTCCTCCTCTCCTAGTCCCACCTATCATTCTGCCTCTATTGACCAAACAGTGTTTTATTAATCAACCAATAAGAGAAACATGTATACAGAAGGACATCACCCATTAAGTTCCTTTGGTGAACGTTAGTGGAATGCTGCTTTGGTTTGTCACTGGGGCATTATAAAGAGGGGTCACCATTGTTTGTCTCCAAGGAAAAGGAAGCCTCATGCCAGAGGACTTAGGAATGTCAAGAAGAGAGCCAAAATGACCTTGAAAGTACTGTTTCTAAGAGTTAATAGACAGGCAAGTCCTTTTATTCCAAGTTACAGATCTTAGTCTAGTGAGATGTCTCCTAGAACCTCAGCACTTGGAAGATTGAATCAGGATTACTGAGTTTGAGATCAGCCTGGGCTACAGAGTGAGAAAACAAATTTCTATTTTAAAATAATCTTTTATTTGCCCATCATATACATTTGAACATCCATTTTGATGAACAGTACATTATCTTAGCAGTAACTGAATAATTTACTATATAGTAAAAATCAAAATTCAATTCCTGACTTCCAAACATTTTTTCTAGTGTGATATAACCATTTGTGTTCTTGATTTTCATGAGAGGGAGACAGTCAGTCTTCTATTGATTAGAGTTAGGAAACAAATTTGAGGTCACATTCAAGAGGTAGGTGACAGTCAGAAAGTGCACTTGATTTTCCCATCAATGGGTGAAGGAGTATTAGAAAAACAACATGTAAAGTAGAGCCTTGAGTATCAATTACAGTTTCTTTCAAATCAATTAATGTTAATAATCACAAATTAAATAGTCAAAATTAAATAATCATAAAATTTTTACTCAAAAGTAGACAGAAAAAACTCACAGGCAATCTAGTTGCCTATTTTAAACATTGAAACAATATTTTTAAAAGTTCTAAAAGGAATATTTTCTGTGGATTTTTACTGTCGTTAATTTGAAGACATAGATTCTGATTTTCTATTGATTTTTAAATCACTTTCTTTGTAAGATTGTTAATGAATGTTGTATCATCCCTCAGTCAAAGATCTACCTAGCTATTAGAACTTTCAGGCTCCATTAACTGACCAATTTCATAACAGATCTGTCATTTTGGTTCCAATGAGATGGGACCTCTTAGGGCAGCTCCAAGGTCTGTGTCTGGTAAATAGACTGATGCCAAAAACTCTCTATGAAAACAGTCTTCATGATGCTCTCTGAGGGATTAATCTGTTAAAGAACAAAAGAGCTGTTTTTCATTCTCCCTAAACTCCAGCAGCCTTTCCTCCTGCCCATTCCTTCTCGTCTCCCATCCTTTCCTCCAGTTTCTCCTAGCCTGCCATCCCTTGTCTTGCCCCCTTCTTTTTTGCTGTTGGAGTCTCGTAGCTTTTCTCCTTCCTGTTCCTTCTATGCTTGGACAAACATTTCCCTTTGTTTAGCTTTATTTTCCATTCAGAATTCCTTCTTGTTAGTTTTTATTGGTTCTTCTTGCACAGGAGTCATGGTTGGGATGAGTGTGGGATGTATTGGGGGTGTATAGGGTCTCATGAACTCTAAGCACATGCTGTACTACCAAGCAGCATCTCCAGCCCCAGTAAAATAGCTTTGAGTCAGTCTATGCACTGATCCTCAAACGGCAGACGTGTGAGCATCTCTCAAATGTAGTGTCCATCGCTGATCTAAACATGTCCTCTTTGGTATAAACTGCTGTGTTCAAGATGTAAGAGCAAATACTTGAATTTTGGGCATTGCTGGCCATTTCTCCATAAAAAGATACTACCAGTGAATAACAGCAGTTGTGGGTGTGTCTATGAGAGTGTTTCCAGAAAGGTTCAACCAAGCATGGAAGACCCACCTTGAATCCCAGCGGAGCGTATCATCCTATGGGCTGCGGTCCTAGAATGAATAAAGGGAGAAAGTGAGCAAAACACAAGCATTCCCCCAGCCCCTGCTTCCTGGTTGTGTGCACAGTGTTACCAGCCATCCACTGCTCCTACTGCCATGCCTTCCCTACTGTGACTGTCTGTTCCCCCTCAAACAGTGAGCTGAAATAAACCCTCCCATCTTTCACTTGCTCTTGTCAATGACTTTCTCACAGCTATGAGAAGGATAGCAATACATAGTATGTGTCTCATTAAAATAGCTATCCATTTCCTCCCTGCATTGGGCACATTGTTATCCTTCAGCTCAGGCTATGCTGTTGCTTTAAGGTAAGGCAGATTCTAAGCCTGGAATGTGGACTGTAGTGAGGCTGTTTCCAACTTCCTGTGACTTACCCAGTATCTCCTGGGAGTCACATGGCTCTCCGGAAGTGCATGAGGTTGACATGATTACTATTGATTGCCCACCCACCATGTGCCTATCACTCTTCCAGATATGCCTTTCACTGTGGCACCCCTGGGCAGTGCATGCTATTATGGTACCACTTTGCAGATGAAACCTGTGTGCTATATATGCCTATGGTCATATAGCATACAGCAAGCATCTATACTTTATTGCTTCCTTGATATACTGGTTGTTGTTTTTTTTTGCCAACTTGACACAAATGTAGACATATCTGGGAAGAAGAAATCTCATCAGATTTTCCTGTGGATGTGTCTGTAGGGCATTTACTTGATTAATGATAGTTGTGGAAGGTCTCAACCCACTTTGGGAGGTGCCACTCCTAGGTAGCGGTCATGTGGTGTATAAGAAAGCAGGCCGAGCACATGCTCAGTCTAGCCAGTCTAGCAGTGTCCTTCCATGGCTTCCATTTCAGTTCCTGCCTCAACTTCCTTTCATAGGAAAGGACTATAAGCTGTAAGATGATACGACGCTGTCCTCCCAAGTTGCTTTTGGTCATAGAGTTTGTCACAGCAGTGAAAAGCAAACTAGGATCCGTGATGAGTCAACGTTCAGTGCGCGCGAAGGCTTGGTTTGCACTGCCTAAGCCTTTGGCTCCTCGTCATCCAGCCACTTACACATCTGCTCCTTGAGCTTGTCTTTCAGAACCGCTCCATTCCTTGGGCCTTCGTGCTGCCTACTGGCCTTCAAGCCTCCTACTTCCACTCCTGTGGAGCTGAGCCCTCCTGACTCCCTGCCTTCTACCACACTGGGAGGCCATACCATTGCTTACTCTCACTTTGCCTTCTGCCTTAAACATATCAAGAAGCCAATTGGTGTAAGACAGAAGAAAAGAAAATCTAGGGACTGTCATTTGTCTAAACTCAGTTCTCTCTCTGAAATCCTAATTTCACTCATATTTATTTTTATCCTTATTGTTGCAGTTCCCAGTATGCATACTTATAAAAGTTGAAATTTCTGTGTTGATATTAGTATTTAAGTTTTCCACAAGGAACAGTAACATTTCCTAATAGCAATCTTTGAACTCTCCGGAAAGAGAATGAGACACTATTTCATTGATTCCATTTGATCCAATTTGATGCTTTTGAACTGACATATACCACCCTAAAACTGGTTTAGGACTATATTGTTCTAGACAACTCCAGACTAGCTAACTGAAAAGGTGCACCTTCTTATTACACTCTGGCCAGAGTTTCAGATAAGAACATCAGTCAAGCATCTCCCACCACAGAGAGACTAGTTACAAATGTTACAGTTAGTCCTCTTCAGACTTTTGTTACTCTAATTTTTTTCCTACATCCCATTTCAGAAGGAAGTAATCCTAAGAAAACAACGCCCCGTTTCCCTACTGTTGACATTAAGGGATAATATTCACCTGCATAGGGTTGGTTTTTAGTTGTTTAGGGCTGGGTATGGAAGGTGGTGCTCGGACTCAGGTATCTCTTTTAGGTAAGTTTAGGGTATGGATGGAAATGGTATGGATGGATGGGATATAGGTAGATTAGCATATCTTCTTGTGAATTATCTTAGTAATTATTAGCTATAGGCAACTTACATTTTTTATAGATTCTTGTATGATGTAACTTACGTATAATTAAGTTTGTATTCCTTTCTCAGGTAATTTATATGTTATATTTTGTCATATTGTGTAAGGTCTTCTTTCTGTTTATGATGTTTTGCACACAAATGTCCTTATAGTCTATGTATGTACGCTTTTACTTATGTTTAAGATATTTTGTGTATTGATACAATTTAGGATATTTTTATCATGTTGCACTATATACTTCTACCTCTGATCAAGACATTTTAATGCTACCTCTGTTTTAGAGATACACAGATGTGTGTGTGTGTGTGTGTGTGTGTGTGTGTGTGTGTGTACAGTTATATTGCTGAAATCATGGTCCTTGCTAAATTATTTTGGGAAGCTTCAGCCATTGTACAACTAGGTTCCCAAGAATTACAGATATTTTCACCCACATCTCTTATATCGATGAGATTAGTCACACATAGATTTTGATCTTTAAACTCTTCATACCTGCAGAATGCAGAATACGGCATTTAAATGTTTTAATGTTAGTATTCTGAAGACAGAAACAGCAGGCTACCTGGCCAATGACCCAAAGTCTCACAACAGAGTAGGGGTAACCACCTTTGGCTAAGGCCTAGAGTATCTGACTGACCAACATAGAAGCAGGGAGGTAGAAAGGCTGTCTTACCCTGACTTGGCAAGGTTCAGCAGTCTTCTAAGTTTATCTCCTACAAGCACAGTAGGACAGCATGTCCAAAGTCAGTGGTCGAGGTGGGGACAGTTCTTTGCCCAAGAGGTCATTAGCTGAGGAGAAAATGGACTCCAGAAGGAGTGACATCGTTGCCCAACATATTCTTGGGAATAGCTTGGTGCTGTCAGGAGCAATTGTGTCTCATGTCAACGAAGTATTAATAATAAAGTTACTCACCTGTACTTCCTGCCTACCCTAGTATTGTTATCTTCCTTCTCAGGTCTTTGATGAGGTTGAAGATTAGACTGTCACAATTACTGTTCTCTCTTTCTAGATAGAAATATTAGGTACAAGATTTAAACTTTCCATCTTAGGACAACTCTATAGTAATCTCTGTTATGCCTTTACCCTAGGCCTGGATATATAGTTCTTGCCATTTGCTCTTGTTGCTTCACTGGCAATAGGTCTTGAGGGTATGTGCTCTTACTTTTCCTTCTTCTAGTACATACTTGATATTTGTTATCTTTGTATATAGTTTGTACCAAGTCTAAATCTTTTTCTTTAGACTAAAAGGGGAATTGTAGTGACAGATCCAACCAACTGCACCTGTGGCGCTGACCACGCCTGTTTGGGCATGGTCATGGGTGTGTATGTGAGCATTTGGGATTTGGTCTGGGGTCTGGGACAGGCTTGCTCTCTCTTGGTTTCAGTTGGGTCATGGAGAGTAGCTAGGTGTGGCTCCTTGGAGCTAGAACTTGTGGGTCATTGGTTTCTCACGTAAGTGACTTCTCCCAAATAAAATTAACCTATATTTGTCATAGTTCCATGTATCTTAATCTGTACAGCTACACTTCACCCATCCTTTCTGACTAGAATATTCTTCCTGCCATCCTGCCCCTCTTTTGGAACCTTTTCAAAAGCGTGGCTTAATGTTTTACTCCCCCACACTGCTGGAGATCAAACCCAGAGCCTGAGTATGCTAAGCAAGTGCTCCACAGTTGGGCCTTACCAGCCCCTGGTTCTTTGACACAGAGTGTTACTTCTTACGGGTTCTCCTGCATCCACTCTCCCAGTCTCCCAGCCCTTGGCCCTGTGCTCTTCCTGCTTATCCCAAAGCAATCTTTCTTAGCTCAGTATTCCCAGCACTCATGGTGTAGTGTTCAGATTTTCTGTGCCTCCCCTGCTAAGACTCACAACTGAGAAGACCCAGCCCAATGCCATGTGTGAAACTATGGCATGATACATAATGTGACATAAACTATGGTCTGATTTGATTCTTACTCTGACTGGAGAAGACAATGGCATCTCTTTTTTTTTTTTTAGATCTATTTATTATGTAGACAATGTTCAGTCCGCATGTATGCCTGTACACCAGAAGAGGGCACCAGATCTCATTATACATAGTTGTGAACAGCCATGTGGTTCCCAAGAATTGAACTCAGGACCTCTTGAAGAGCAACCAGTGCTCTTAACCTCTGAGCCATCTCTCAAGCTCACTGACACCTATATTAAGAGGCAAGCTACACTGACTGTATGAGACAAACAGAAATGTGTTCTTTTCCTCTTTGAGAGTACATCACCTGTAAAACTATGGTGGTGGGGTTGCTGTCCTGTATAGCACTGGGGCTATTTTACAATGCTGTCTACTTTTATATGTATGTTCTTGAACTTGTGTTTGTGCCAGAGGTCTTCCTCAAGAGAGGTCGCCTTGTTTTGAGACTGGGTGGTTCATTGGCTGAAGCCCACTGACTAGGTTAGGTTGGCTGGCCAGTTAGTCCTAGAGCTCTGACTGCCTTCATCTCTCCAGCACTGGAATTACAAGAGGCTCCACCAAGCCTGCCTTTTTATATGGGTGCTGGGTATTAACTTGATTCTCAGACCTGTGTGACATTTTCTCAACTGAGTCATCTTTCCTGCCCTGAGACTGTGTACTTTTAAGAAACAAAATATGTACTGGGAGGGACAACTATTAACACACATAATAACTATGAGGGGTAGCTGCTGGTGGAATAAATAAATACAAGTGCAGGAGTGAAGAAAATGGCCACTCCCATAGCATGTGATCCTTTAGGTCACATGTAGATGGGAACAAGCCTTGTAACGGAGCTAATGAGACCCGGTTGTGGAAAGGGCAAATCTGACTCCTTCCACAAAAGCTGATGCTAGGCTCCACCCTGCCCACTGCTTTAGCGATTCTCTTGCACAGTTTTATTGCTGTTTCTCCTTTTGTGCTCGGGATTTTTTTCTGAAACAGTGTCTGTTTTCCGCAGCAGACTGTCACCTCCTCCCCTTCCAAGGAGTCCGTGGACTTTGAGGAGGCCTCTCACTAGTTGTCTTATGTACTTATTTTACATCTCAGTGTTTTCATGTAAGTCAGATTTCCTGGAATTTAGGTGGAAAAGTGAACGCCATAGGATACATGATTAGATGTTTATCAGTCCCAAAGGGTGCTTACCTGGGACACGCCAGGTCTGGTCTAACCACAGTGCATCAGGAATGACCTCCAGTTGGGTGGTGTTAGTGGGAGTTTTATCTGAAAATGATTCCAAAACCTGCAAGAAACAAAGCAGAGAGAGGGAGACAAGCTTCAAATGCCGATGGCTCTCAGTTGGCCAGGATTTCTTTGGTGCCAGCTCTCAGTGTTGCTCTGCTGCCTCAGCTGCCGGTGCATCTGTGAGCTCCCAGAGTCCCTTAAAACATGATGGCCATCTGTTTTCCAATGGTAAGCCCCATTGTAAGGAGTTCTCATTAATGAAATTACATTTATACAAGGTACACAAAAGCATCAGGAAGGACATTAGTGAAGGTGACCACATCCCCTTGGGTGTAGGAAGGTGAACTACTTCCTGAAGAATGGTCTGGCTGGCTGGTAAACTAGACTCACTACTGGCAAACCTAAGAGCTCACCCTAAGTAAAGCTCAGAGAACATGCCAAGAGATGCAGACATGACTCGTCCAACCACTGTTTCAAATGGTGAAAAGGTAGAAAGTTCTTGATGGCTAAAGACTGTTAGATGAGGTCTGAGTACTGGTGTATGGTACCAGGTAGTCAGGCATTAAGATGACCGGTGAGAAAATACATAGTGAGGTAGTAAACAACAGATGGCCATGCAGGAGCGAGAGTGAGGCCAGCACTGTCCACACTGGAAAGAACTCACAGCATGCTTGGAGATCCAAAAAGAATGATTAACTAGATACCAAGTACAAATTGTGCCATCTGAGTGAGGAGTATTTCTTGTATTAATTTTTTCTATTTTAAACTATTTTTTTGAAAATTTCAACAGTAAATATGTATTGTTTTTATGATAAAAATATTTAACAGACCATGTTTTAAGAGCAACATTTAAATAGGGCTGTAACTGCTCCTCAAAACTCATCAGGACATTCTTTTACACTGTGACCTTGCCGTTAATGGACATATTGAGACAGAGGTTTGGGGGTACAAGGGTGGAAGGGATGTGAGGTGCCCAGGCTTTTTTCTGCAGCATTGGTTACACGGGCTCCGGTGAAAATGAACAATACTCAGATATCCCAACTGTAGGAGAAAGAAGATGGACAGAAAAACCACCTCTGGGTTGTAGTTGGAACATTCTAGATGAAGTTGCAGAATATCTATACAGGTGTGACACTGAAATACTGCGGTAACATCTCACCAACAAAGTGTGACATGTTATTGAAGACAAATGTGTCTACAGAAATGTGGGTATGCAAAAAAAAAAAAAAGAAAGAAAGAAGAAAACGGAAAAAAATGAGGGTATGCACAGAAATAGACCAGGAAGACACAAGCCCTTTTATCAAGAGTCACCCAGAAAAAGGGTGGAGGGAAGAGCAGGAAATGGGTTTCTTAGAAGGGACTAGTAAAACCATAACGGCTGTAACAGACACATACATCTACAGTTTCTAAATTTTAAAATACAGTTCTAAGACACTAAGGGGGGAGCGGGGCTGAAATGAGGTGGCTCAGTGTGTGGGAAGGACCTCGGCAAGTTTGGGGACAGCTTAGGCTGTGCAGTGAGTAGTAGACTGATCTGACTCAACCAGCCAAACAAAGAAAACCAAAATTATGAAGAAAATTAGTAAAAAGTAAATTTAATGACTATAATTGCAACACACCAGCCAGAGGGCTTTACTTAGACATGCTAATTTTTAAATTCTGTTCTCATTAGTTTATTTTGTGTGTGTCTCCATGTGTGGGAATGCAGGCGTGTGTGCATGGTGGGCATATGGAGGTCAGAGAACTTTTAGTCGTCATCTCTTTCCTTCCACTGTCTGGGTCTTCCTGGTATTGAACTCAGCTCAGCAGGCTTAACAAAAGGAACCTTTACCACTGAACCATCGCTGCCTCCCAGGTGTTTTAAATAATAGGAACTTTAAAAAGTAAATGTCTGCATCTTGTCAGAGGATTGGTGGTGATAATAAAACTGCTTTCTCTTTACTGATCTTGTGCATGTAAAGGCAGAAAATTGCTCTTCCTGAGATTCCAAATATGACAGTAAGTATATATGCAGTTTATAAGTATGAGCAAACACAAAAACAGTGGGTCATCCTGCAAACTACCCAGTCCACAAAACACTAAGCTCAAGTTTCTTGTTACAGTTGCAGAGCCAAGCATGCTGGTACATTCCCATAATCCCAGCCTATGGGAGAGGGTGAAGTAGAGACTGTCACGAGTTCAGCCTGGGCTACAGAATGACACCTTGTCTTAAGAACACATGGGGAAAGGATGGAGCCTCTCTTATCTGTGCTAACCAGGAACACAGCAAGCCACTGACCCCACTTCCCTCTGCACAGGCACCTCCCCAACCCTGACTGCCATGCCACACGCCCCTCCCCCTGCCATGGCCCCCATGCCCTCGGGCTCCCCAACCCCCACCACTCCAGGGCATCAAAGCATTGGCAGGCTTACAGATGATGGTATATGTCAGGATCCCGCTGCAATCGGGTCTGGAAGCCAATGTACAGGTCATCCCACAGCAGGCCATGCTTCACCACATACCTGATGACATCCACACGGCTACGGATCTGAAATGGTAACATAGAAACTCTCAGGATGGCCCTGGTGCATGCCAGTTCATCCCCTCAGGTCCTTAGAAGTAGCTGCCAGTGCTGACAGAGGGGAGTGAAGGAGAAAAGCCTGGATGCGACAGAAGGAGGGAGCACGGGCAGGAGTGGAGGAAGGCAGGGCACACACATCAGAAGGAGTGCTAGCTGGGATCCAGGGTCCAGCTTTGTGGTTGAGTAACTATTGACTCAGTTTCCTCATCTGTAAAATGAAGGTTAAAAGGATTGTGGTGAGAAACAAATGAGTCTATGAACAGAAAGCACTTAAAGTGAGGTGGTTACACAGTAAGTGCTCAATAAATGATACTGTGATCGCCCTTCTAAAAAGTACACACGTGCCTCCACCTGAAACTCTGGGGCTGGCCAGTGTGATGATATTTTGTTTATGGTCTAACAAATGAAGCTTGCCTGAAGATCAGCGTGCAAAGCTGGCCATGTTAATTAGCCACAGAGGCCAGGCAGCAGTGGTACACACCTTTAATCCCCGCAACCACACTAGTTAGCCATAGAGGCCATGCAGTGGTGGTTCACATCTTTAATCCCAGCACTCAGGAGACAGAGGCAGACAGATTTCTGTTAGTTCAAGGCTACCCTGAACTACACAAAATTGATCCAGTCTGAAAGAGAAACAGAGTTCACACAAAGGTGATCTCAGCCCTTGGGATCCCACGCCTTTAATCCCAGCACTAGAGAGGAATATAAAGGGAGAGGAGACAGGAGCTCAGGGAGTCTGAATTTGGTGGACATAGGTGCAGTCTGGAGAGGTAGGACAGGATGCCCCTGCGGTCTGAGCATTGGTAGAGAACTCATGCTACAGGCCAGAGCCTCAAAGCTCATGACAGCATGTGTGTGTCCAGGCACCAATGAGCAGAACTGCCTTCAATTAGGTCGTTGAAGTTCTTAAGGAATCCCTATCACAGACACTGGAGTTGGTGGACAGTAAGACCCAGGGATAGAGGCAAGCTGCGTTTCTGAGTCAACAGAAGTGGTGGGAGGGTAGAAGGGAAGAAACAGTGATAAAGATGGGAGAAGAAGGAGAGGGGGAGGTTCCAAGGGAGAGGAAGACAAAGGAAGAGGAGGGGCCCCGGGGGGGGGGGACTGCTCACTTCTTCATAAGGATGCTCCCTGCTTGGTCTTTCTTTTGGAAAAGACAAATCTAGAAAGTCCACCAGATAGTCGTACCCTCCAGGAAAAGGGTTGAAGTCTTCATCTGTTTCAATCATCTGTATGGATAACAAGGAGGTAAACAAAAGAGAATTCATCAAGTGGCGAGGTCGTTAAGAAATTCTAAAATTGTGGAAGTCTTAAACACTCTCCCTCTTTGCCTTCCCCCTTTCTCTATTTCAGTCTCCCCCTCAAACTCATAGCATTACACTCCTCATCTTCTACATCAGCAAAACCACTGCCTCTCGCTACTCTAACTCCAGCGGCATACGCCATTGTCAGCAACGAGATGTCAAGTAGCACCGGAAGCTTTCAGTTGGAAATACAGTGTGTACTATGCCTCATACCATACAGCAGCTAAACAGAAATATGTTCACTGGGCCAGCGAGGCAGCGCAGCAGGAAGAGGTGCTGTAATCCACATGGTGAAGGAGGGAACTGATTCCCACAAGTTGCCCCCTGACCTCCACACACTCACTGCAGAGCACAGACAGGCAGACAGACACACACACACAAATAATAAATACATAAAAGTAATTTTAAAATTTAAAGTAATACATTCATTGAAAGTTGTAAAAGTTTCATGTGAAAACATCATTCACTTTCCCAGAACTCTGGGTCTCAAAGATGATTTCCTCAAAAATAGCTGGGAGCTAATATTCAAAAATGGCTTTAGACCTGTTTATTCTTTTATGTCATTAAAGGAAGCATGTTTTAACACTTTAAATATAGAAATGACCAATCTTGAAATAACTCATCCTAAGAAGGAAGGGAGAGCTGCAGGCTTTCATCAACTCCCAGTTAAGCAGGGAAAATATTGCCACAGAATGGCACAGAAAAGTTCTGGAGAACCACAGCTTTGGAGGTCGAAAACCCCTCCGGGTGGACTCTACCTCCTAGCCTCACGGTTAAGCATTCCTGACATGCCAGATAATGTAAAATGCAGCCCCAAGGGAGTGGGGTGGAGAGGGTAATAAAACACACAGGAAGGGGACCACAGGGGCAGAAGGGTACAGAGGACAGGGTTCCAGGAGATGGAGGGCTCCCAAGGAAATCAAGGTGCAGATGAAAATGCTACAAGGACACTTATTACTTTTTATATGGTGATTTAAACTTTTTTTTTAATTCATAGGGACAAGAGAGAAAGATACTGCAAAAGCCAAACTGAGCTACACTTAATGGCCCCTTCAGTTTTCATCACAAAGTTTCTCTATCCTCTGCTGGACAGTTTGGAGGGCTTCCAAGTGCTGACTAGAAACCAAACTGGAAACCAGGAGACTACAAAGATCTCCAGATTACAAGAGAGCAGAGGCAGAGACTTTTTAGCCATACCCTGACCACCAGGTTGTAACTCTTAAATCCAGCCCAAGTGAAGTACTCTTTTATCCAGGATGGGTGAAGAAAGATTTCATCTCCTACAGCAGACTGCAAGGTTCTCAGGTACGGGCCGAAGTCCCACGAATCTTTGTAAATTTTTGTCCCTTCTGGAGGCTCTACGATGCCCTGGCTTAAAGACACAAAGAGGAGGAGGGTCAGAGAAGTAGGTAAGGGAGGTAAGGAAGGCAAAACCGATTCTTTAAGGAAAACTCCGCCAAAGGAGTAGTTTCAAGATAGGGGATTGCCTCACAGGGCCCAGCCTAACCTAAGTCATACCATTTCCCATTTACTACTTAATGGGCAGTATTTCCACATCATATTTCATTGACAAATCCTGTGTATGTCTGCAGATACAAAGCTGCAAGATCCCTGATTTGGACTCTCTTGCTCCAGATGACTAAGTGAAGGATGTGTTGACTGTGACCTGCTTGTATTGGCTTTGTGATGTGGCAACAGCTGCCTCTTCATGCCCATCACAATAGGCATCTGGTGAAAGCAGCACAAGGAACTGAAATGTTTCCTGCTGGGAGTGGAGGCTGGTAAAACTCAGGACACTAAGAAAACTCAAAGGCTAAAGAAAACTCCTTCCTCAAGCTATAAAAGCCATCAACAGCAGCTGGGGAGAGGGCTCACTCCTGTGGAGCTGCCCATGGGTTGGTCTAGGAACTCCAGGGTTGCAGCTTTCATGAGTGGAACTGTAACAAGTTGGGATTTTCCAGTGTTTCTACAAGTGACCCCCATGAACTCCTGGGTCACCAAGCTACACTTGGGTGGGATGGACTCTTTGGTCTATTACTGGTGTCCTTCTGGGTTGAATAAATGTTTGTTCACATTTCCAGGAAAAGTATGGCTACGTGGTGCCCAGTAAATATTTGAGCATATAAACTTTAGCCGACAGAATTTTGTGCCTCTGATCAACTGTGCTCTATCTGCTCATCAAACTCCAGTTTTCAGACCGATTTGTAATTTTTTTCTTTAAAAACCCAGTTAGTAGTATACACAGTCCTGCTTATCCTGGGGCAGTAGATCACTACTTGGAACATGGAGTCTTGGATCTTGAGAAAGTAATAGGATGTGAGATGAACAAGGAAAATAATCTAAGGAGGCAAATACTCCTGTGTCTATTAAATGTGTGGAGGCAACAGTAGATGCCCTCTCAAAACTTCGCTTTGAGTCCATCATGTCTCTAAGGCTACAGAGGCACCAAAAGTATATCACTTCTAAAATACATCTCCAGTCTCATGTAGCTCCTTGCCTGGCATCACTGAAGTCTCACTGATCTTTTCCTGAGAAACCATAGCTTCCCCTCCCCAGGCCTCCTTGACTCCAGAGCTCTAGCTTCCCGGGTAGAGCATTCCCCTCTACACAGAGGAAGTGGGCTTCCAAAACCCACTTACAGTTCAGTAAGACCCTTCTCTGCTTTGTCATTTTCTGTGGCTCTCCTTGTTCAAAGGGCAGGTTCATTGCCTGGTCTAGGAGACCATGTAGACCCTGGCCCCCACATGGCATCCCTGTGTCCCCCTTTCCTTGGGCTTTCACTCATCAGCTCTCAACTCAGGGCTTGGAGAGCTCCACGAGGACCAAGGTTTCTTCCTGCCTGTGTCCTCTGAACTTCTGGCTCCCAGTATCAGAATGTTCTAGTGAATAATTTGTGAATCAATGGCATTTGTGCACACGCTTTTCCTTTAGTCTCATTTTCACTCTCCAGCTGGCCATACATCCTTATCCACACAGCAGCGTGCAGGAGCGCTCTAGGAATTTAAGTTTCATAATTTAGAAAGAATGGCTTGTTAGCAACAAATGGAGGGGTTCCCAATATTTTGCCTGTAATTCCTGTAAGAACTATTTTGTGTGGGGGTAAGGTGGGGGAGCAAGGTCTCACTCTGTAACCCTAAAACAAGCCAGGCTGGTCTTGAACTCATGACAATCTTCCTGCTTCCTCACATGCTGGGATTACAGACCATCACTTCCAGACAAGAAATGTCTCCATCAGGTTGCAAAGTTATCCCAGAAATGAAACCTTTACTACATGCAAATGCTTAGTTTTTATTCATACTGCTGACTTTTGGTTTTTAGTGACAATATTGGTTACAACCAGTGACCTTGGTTTGATGGCCAGCCAGTGGATTGTGACCTGCACATTGAAAAGCATTAGCATGGGGGAAGCATTGTGAGGGAGGGGCACTACCACACCAGGGAACTACAGGCAGGGGACAGCCCCTGAGCGAGTGGGGGGACAGCCCCTGAGTGAGTGGTGGAGATGAGAGCAGGCAAGGGGGGCCTGAGTGGCATGAGGTACTTGAAAATCTGTGAGGGAGGCTGACCAGGCCCTAGTCATATCTGGGATGTCAGCAAAGGGCAATACAGCTTTCTTCTGCTCACTTCCTACAGTATGTGTATTTCTACATTTGGGCAGGAACTTTATGGCTATGTTACTCAGGAGAGGTACTTATGAGACTACAGGCCTCTGGAGTCCAGGTTAAACTCTTTGTAATTGGATTCCCCTGTCTGATATTTTGAAATGTGCTGCTAATTTTATAGGTCATGCTTGCAGTGGGATGAAAACTAACTTTCCAAGTCACCCTACATGGGTGCTGGCAGCTGAATTGTGGACCTCTGTGGTAGCAGCATGTGCTCCTAACAGCTGAGCCATCTCTCCAGCCTCTTACCCTTTACTCTTGGGTAAGAAGGACCCCAAGGTTATGAAAGCGCTTAAGCCAGGCTGAGATGGTTTGGGACATTGTCTGATTTGAATGATAATTGCCAGTCTATTTTATTTGAATAGTGAGTCAGGGCCTCAAACAGTGCAGTCTGGTCTGATCCTCCTGCCTCAGGCTCTAAAGTGCTGGGATTGCAGGTGAGTGGCTCCCTACCTGGCTCTAGGATTTCTACTTTTTAAAGTGAGATGAAGATCTTAAGGTAAGCTTAGCATTTTAGTCAACAAAAGTTAATGTCCCCGCAGAAGAGGGACCTGCTGAGAGTCGGGAGCTTTTCATCATAATATTAAAGACATTATATAAGGTATTTTTATCCCCAGACCTGTCTGTTGGGTCCTTCAGCATCCTGCCCAGGTCAAGGGTAGCTCCAGGTCGTGGGGTCCATGTCACCACATCACAGTTTTTCTTGATGAGATTGTTGAGTTGATTCGGGTCATTTTTGGTGTTTGTTTCCTTAATATACCTAAGAAATAAGAGCATTCCCAGATAAGAGAGTTGATTCTCCAGGAGTGTGGTAGCGACAGTGAATATTTTGGTTTACTCTTTATTCCCACGTTCCAATCCCCTTCCACACATAAGGAGGTAAAATAAAGGCCATATTTGGGCTAATGTCTCTAATCAGTCAAGGAAGTTGTTCATGTCTTTTTTTTTTTTAAGGTGGTGATTGTAATTAAGTTAGCGGAACTATGAGTAACCATTATAAGTAGGCAGTAATTGCACACTCATACTGAATATCAACAGAAATGAAGACTGATTGACTATTATTTGGCAGGCATTATACTAAGTGCTTGATACAAACTAGTCCACTTTATCTTACAGTGTCTCATGAGATTGCTGTTATCACAGCTTTCATTTCCTAGAGAAGGAATCAAAGGCTACACGTCACATGGCCTGCACAGGCTCAGACTGCAGACAGGCTCCAGGGCCTCTTTCTAGCTTTCAGAATAAAATCTGGAAAGTCTCTGCATTCGAAACCATTAAACTGTCCTGTTATCCTCAGGACTGGCTGGCCAGTCCAGCAATCACAGATCCTGTCTCAAAACCACAGGTGGAAAGCACCTGAAGAGTGACACTTATGGTTGACCTCTCACATCCACAGTCACATGCAGGAACATGTACCATCACACACATGTGTGTCCACACAGAAGGAAGAAGAGGATGGGAGAATGGAGGCGGCAAGACACTGTTTGAAAATCTATCCATTACAAAGCAGCACACATCCTCAGTCATAATCCTTCCTGGGGCCTGCTTTCTCTTTCTTTTCTTTGCTCATGCATGGAAGGTGAGGACTCTACCACTGTGCTACATCCTCAGCTCAAGATCCAGAATTTAATTATGCTATTAATCAAAGCTGGGCATTACCTAAATCAAACTCCATGCTACCACCTTTCTCAAAAAACTGTAACTTGTCAATTTCCATAACACACTGACATGGGTGTTGGAACAGAAAATGGGACAGCCAGAGAAAACGGATTTGTCATTGTGATCCCCCTGACAGTTATTTACACAGACATTACTACTAAAGAGAATTTGTCAACCTTGAACTTCAGGTTGGTTCTCTAGACCTGATATTTAGTCAGATAGTTAAATAGAACATGAACAATTGTCTGTTTCTTTCCTGAAAACACTGCAGTGCTCTTAAAAGGTGTCTGTGGCTTTGTCCTTGTTTCCATGCCAACATCTTCCTGCTGCTTCGGTTTCTGTGGGAGTATGTGTGGGTGTGTGCACCTGTGTGTGTGAACATGCTTGTATGTGCCTGTGAACATGTGTGCATCTGTGAGCATATGTGCACCTGTGAGTTTATGCATGTGTGTACCTGTGAGTTTATGCATGTGTGTACCTGTGAGTGTATGCATGTGTGCACCTGTGAGTGCATGCATTGTGCACCTGTGAGCATGTGTGCACCTGTGAGTGTGTGCATGTATGTGCCTGTGAATGTGCATATGTGTGCATACGGAGGCCAGAGGTTGACATTGTGTCTTCTTCAACCACTGAACCTTATTTTTTGAGAAAGGGTCTTTCACCGATATGGAGCTCGCTGATTGGCTAGGCTGGCTGGCCAGTAAGCACCAGCAAGCCATCTATATCTGACTCCCTAATACAGGAATTATAGGTGTACATGGCCAAGCCCAGACTCTCTACACAGCTGCCAGGTACAGACTTAGATCCTGGTGCTTGTGTGGCAGGCACATGACTCCTGAGTCACCTCCCCAGATCTTCAGTTCCTAATGAAAGCAATATCATCACTGTCTCTTTTCCAAGAGTGGCTGTCCTGAGCCAGAGTACTGTCCATCACTTTCTTTAAAGCACAGTGTTCACGAACTTCTGTAACTTCATGATACATCTTTGTCTCTTTATCTACAACAATAATGAAATCGGTATCTCCATACCATTCTCTCAAGTGTCATGGGCACTGAGGACATTTTCTGACAGCTTACATAAAGAATTGTGGCTTTTGATTACTTTTACAGACAGCATTGTGTTGAGAGGTCCAGTACTCCCTAAGCAAACACACACCTTCTCCAGCTCTTCTCTGAGAGTCCATGCTTTCAGCTACTTAATGTTTCATTCATCTGAATTCTCTTCTCACTGCCATTCACCATTCCTTCCTGGGTAACTGTAATAGTTTCAGATTGGTCTCCAAACCAATGTTCCTTTTGCCTTTCCTACCACATAGACACATAACCTGACATCTAGTGATGCCCCTCTTCCTTACTAGTCTCCTTCACTGGGTTCCCCAAACCTTCATAAAGACCCCAAGCTGTGGGTTATGGCAGACTCTTGTGGTTCCAGTCTGGGCCCCCACCTCTGCCCTGCTTTCGTCATAATGTCCCCTGCTCCAACCATTGGGCTGAGCTGCAGACTCTTTCCCTAAAATCCTTCCACAGGGTCTCCCAGTGTAGCTCAGGAGGGCCTGGAACTTTGCATGTAGACCCGGCCTTGAATTCCCAGCAATTTTCCCATCTCTGCCTCCTGAGTGCTGGGGTTAAAGGTGTGTGCTAACAGGTCCCATCATAAACTACAGTCACCATTTTATCTTTTCTGGCCAGCACTGTTTTATCTTTTCTGGCCAGGCTCCACTTAATGTTCAAATGTAGCTTCACTAGGCCAGAAGTCAACCTTTTATCATCTGCCCTGATCTTCAATCCATGGCGTTTGCTGTCCGGTATTATAATTATTTTTTCTTCCTAAAAACTAGAACTCTAGTCCCCCCCACACCCATCACTGTGCTCCTTCATAAATAATACATCACAAAAAAGCAGAACGAGCACTGACCACAAGAAGCTATTTTTTAACCTTGGGTCATTCTTATTAAAATATGTAAAAGAGTCAAAAGAGCTAGATGGTGTCAACAAGGGTATAGAAAGGAAGGAGGCTTCAGTCACAGGTCACAGTGGGCAGTTCCAAATGCAGGGCCACATGGTGAAAGATAGGTATCAGCAAACTGAGCCACCATATCTTAATCATGAGACAAAGGAAATCGTAAGTGCGGGTTACAGTAAATGGTGGCAGAACCAGAGCTGATAACTTTGCTGTTTGAGGGGAGGCAGTGTCTGTACTCTACCACTGAGCTACAGCCCCAGTCCCCAGTAGGAGCTTAGATTCCTGACCCAAGGTCCATTATCTCAAATTTTTAGGAGTTTTGCAGTGCTAGAGTTTGAACCCAGAACCTTGTGTATACTATCTTTTGTTTTTTATGCTCTCCTCCTTTTTGAGACAGTCTTACTATGTTGTCTGGACTGGCCTCGGGTTCAAGTGTTTCTCCTGCCTTAACCTCCCTGGTAGCTGAGGTATGAGTATGTACTACTGTGCCCTATTATTTCCCACAAACTGTGAAACTGTACATTCCTTTGTTATTCATATCAAAATGTGCACTAACTTCCCTGAGATCTCCTCCTTGGCCCATGGAGCATTAAGAAGCTATTTAATTTCTAGGCATTTGGAGATGTTGCAGTTCTTTTGATCTCCAGCATAATTCCATTAAGATTACAGAACATGCTAAGCATAACCAGATTTAATTCAGTTATGGTTTGTTGTAGGACCCAGGATATGATCTACTTTGGTGGATGTTTGATATGACTTTGAAAATCATATGTTCTGCTACCCTGGTCTGAGTTCTTTATAAATGTCAATCAGACCCACAGGGTCTATGGTGGTAGTGAATTTTTCTATGTCCTCCATGATTCTTTGAATTTTTCTTCTTCCAAACACTGAAAGAAAAATGCTGAAGCTTTCAACTGCAAATGTGGTTTAATGTGGGCACACACATCTGACACTATTCTGTCTCCTGAGTGAGCTAGTGTTGGCAAGCTACATCACTACACTCATTGTGAACCCGCATATTTCCTGTTCTGGAGCCTACGTTCATGTGGTATCAGTCAGTCCAGCTTCCTTCTTCTGCACCAGCTTCTTATAGCCTTTTATCTCATATTTGTGTTACTACGTTTAAAACCCAGTTTGGTCTTGTTCTTTTATCCACTATAGTCTCTGTCCCTTAGAGTTCAGTTTTGTTATTTTTTAAAAGAAACCATGATTTTATTCTATCTCCACTTTTCTGTGGACCCTGAAATCATAACAGCTTGATTGGGGTGCTGACCAAGATTGCTCTGGACAATTTAATTTGTGGCAAAGCTACTCTGGCAGATCCCAAGTGGTTTCATTTACATATCTGTATCATTCATATTTAATACAATTATCCATATTTCTTGATTCATATTGATCATTTTATTTACATTTCTCTGTTTCTTCCCTTCATTTTTTACTTCTTTTAGGTTATTTGCATGTTTTTCAGTATTCTATTTAGTCTGTCTATTAATTTTTTAAAACCATATCCCTTATAGAATTGCTGCTTTGGGGATTACCATGTTATAATATTCTATACTTGCTTCTCACATTTATTTAGAATGCATCACATCTGGTGACTGCTGTCCCCAAGTACCACACTGGTGATGCTTAAAGAACAGAAGTTAAACAGGAACTTTTTCTTATCACTGGACATTCAAAAGTCACAGTGAAGCAGGACCAGTTCCTTCTGTTGGCTGAGAACAGACTGTCCCATGGCCTCTCCCTAGCTATTTCATGTGTCTTGTGCCTTGTTATAAGGACACTGATCAATTGAACTAAGGTCTGCTCTCATGGACTCATTTTAACTGGATCACCTTTGTACAGACGCTATCTTTAAGCAAGTCCTGTTCTGAGGTCTTCAGGGCTCACTCAGCACTTCAACATGGGAATTTTGAAGAGATACCATTTAATCTATCACATCTCTATATACTGAAATTTACATCAGTGCCATATTTTGGCTTGCAAATTAAAAGACCTAACAAAAGAAAAGCATTCTATTAAGTGTATCAAGATTTATATTTCTGTTCTCCCCTCAGAATCACTTCTCTTTAATCTGAAGAAGTTCCCCTAACTTTTCTGCTGGCAGTGACCTGCCCCAGCTCTTTCATTTGCGAGGGTCTGTTCTACTCGCTGCCCTGAGAATCTCTTTGCTGGATCTAGGTGCAATTCTTTTGTTTGCTTTGTAAACACATTTTTAAAAATTCACTATCTTTCTGATTAGAAGTCCAACTATTTGAATTATTTCCTGCCATTAAAATCAAGGTAATTTGATATTGCTGCTTTTTTAGTTTTTTGTAGTTTTGTTTTTAAGTGTCCAGGCTTCTTTTGATTCAAGTTCATACCGTGCTTCTAGAATCTAAGTTTGTACCATTTATCAGATTTGGTTCCAGCCACTCACTTTTCATCTTGTTTGTGTACCATGATCTTCACCTCCTCTCCATAGACACCTGACATTTGCCATCGTCCTGTAAGTCTCCTGAGCTGCTCCTGTTTGTCATAGTCTTTTCTTTCTTCTTCTTAGGTTTGAGGGCTTCTCTTGCTCCATATTCAAGTTCTCTTCCTCTTGCATTTCTCAGTCCCATCAAGCACTAGAAGTCCTCCCATGTGTTTGCTGCTGTGAACTGTATAGTTTGCCTGTCCATTTTCCATTTGACTCTCTCTCTCTCTCTCTCTCTCTCTCTCTCTCTCTCTCTCTCTCTGTGTGTGTGTGTGTGTGTGTGTGTGTCTGTGTCTGTGTATAGCTGTCTGTCTTTACAGTCAAGAGTTTTTGCCATTACTTGCTGAAACATGGCTTTCACAGAAATTTTTTTTCTGATAATTATAACATCTGTGCCATTTGGGTTCTTTTATCTGTTGTATTTCCCGTCATGTTCCGGTAAGGTTTTCCTGTTTTCCCTATTGTGAAGTACTTTTGGATAATATCCTGTTCCTCTGAAAATTATTCTATGAAGATCCTGTTTTTCCTGATATTAAGTAGTTTTGGATCATATCCTGTTCCTTTGAAAATTATTCTATGGAAATCTGTTTATATCTGTTCAAATGGATATTTTTGTTTAAACAAGTATTCAGTCAGGCCACAAGTTCTAAAGTTCCATCTTCAGGCTGTGGTTTCAATTCAATTTCAGTTCTTTTTTTCAAAACTTTTGTGGACCTTTCACCTCTGTTCAACGCGTGTGCCACCAAGTTACCAGCCTGAGGCCACATGTGTGCCACTAAGTCACCAGTGTGGGGCCTGAGAGGTGCTGCCTTCTGTATTGCAATTGCAGAGGCTTGGTCTGCTGATCACATAGCACAGCCAGGGGCTGAGTTCCAACGCTTACTCAATCTTCTGACTTATTTTCATAAGTGTTCTTCCTGCAATGCCAATACCTTCTGCCTCCCAAGTGTCCTGTTCTTTGTCAATGTCAAATGATTCTTGAGTAGAAGATAATCTACTGAAAACTCAGGACTTTGTTTCCCTGGCAGGGTGAGTACTTTCTGAGAATTCCATCTACTTTCCGGAGCCAAGTGTTAGTGAAAGAAAAACAGCAACAGAGCAAGAGACAGTGACTCCTTCCTATAATCTGAGTCCATGGGAAGCTGAGGCAGGAATGACTGAGAGCTCAGGGACAGACTGGGATTCTGCATTAGACCCTGTCTCAAAAAGGCAAATGGAGAAGAGAGGTGGAATCCTCAGAGGTGAGAAAATAAGGGGCAGCGGGGTTTTCTCTCTGTTTTTGAAATGAAAATCATTATGACCCTAGAAAAGGCTTTGTTTCCCAAGGCTTCAGGCAGAGCTCAGCTTGCCTGCTCCAACACTGGACTTGTGTTTCCCTTGGGAATCTGACTTAATGCCTTCTGCTTCTCCTTGTCCCTATATGAAGAAGCAGCAGGCACGGCTACAGTCCCACTACTGAGCTGTGATACGAAGTCATTTCCCTGGTCTTAGAACTATTTTCCCAGAAAATTATCTCTCAGCACTTTCCCCTAAACTATGGTAAAGAGTCAAGAGAGAAAAGAAAAAAATATTTCCTGGGAACCTTTCATATTCCTAGTACTATGTGAGGATTCCATGCCTATAAATTACCTAGACTTTCGAAAGTAACTTTTAAAGCTGGATATAGTAGTACAGGTTTATAACTTCAATAATGAGGAGTTTGAGGCAGGGGGATAAGAAGTTCAAAGCTAGCTTAAATTACATAGGAAGTTCTTATCTCAAGAAAATAATGGTAACAGTAACACTTGAATATCATTCATACTGTGCCCTGTTCACAGACCTTTGGAGTTCAGGTTGATACCAGCTGTGGGTTCCCCTGTTAGTATGTAGTAGAGTGTACATCTAAACTTTAAGCAGTTTAAATTCCAAACTGTCAGCTCTCCCTGCTATGCTACACTGCCCACCCCCACAGTGACACACTTCCTCCAACAAGGCCACACCTACTCCAACAAAGCCATACCCCCTAGTAGTTCCATTCCCCATGGGGGCCATTTTCTTTCAAACCAGCATGAAGTCTAACTTTCTGAAACCATAAACTCAATTAAATGCTTCCTTTTATAAATTGTCTTGGTCATTGGTGTTTTGTCACAGCAATAGAAAAGTAACTAAAACAGAAGTGAATGCAATTCTACTAAAATCAAAATTTTCACGTTTATAGAAATAAATTACAGGTATTTAAAACACTTTAGCACCTATCATGGTTTCATTATCAAGGACGACGAAGCACTTGGAAGTACTACATAGCTAGGATTTGACTTTACTACAGTCTCTACTAAAATATTAAGTGTCCTTGACATGAAATGATAAGAGCATGATGTATTACATGATTATCTAAGTTTTGCTATTCCACTAGATATAAACATCTCTGACACTGGTATATGATAAATGCATATATCACTTTTTGTGTGTGTAGTATGCATGTATGTGTGTGTGCATGTGGTGCGGGGTGGTACAAATGTGTGAGGTGTGTAGAGGCCAGAAGTCAATATTGGGTGTCTTCTGCAACAGTTCTCCATCTTACCTTTTAAGACACTGTCTTTTGATGATTCTGCTGCACTGACTGGCCACTGAGCTGGGGAGCAGAGTGGAGATATATCCTCCTGGCTGTATCTCTCTAGTAATGGAATTGCAAGCATGCACTGCTGCACCTCATTTTTTAAATGGGTTCTAGAAAGCCAAAGTCAGGTTCTCAGAATGTATAGCAAGCACTTTAGCAACTGAGCCAGCTCCCGAGCCACTAAATTTTTAAATAAAAAAATTGGTGAATGTGTATATCCTGGTGTGTGTATTTCACATATTTTGTATATTTAGGTTATATCAATTCAGATAGTAATTTTCATCAGGATCTATCTCTAGGTTTCATAAAACTTATGGTTCAATATTAGATTCATGTGCTTGTTGATCAAGCCATCCTTAAAGGTTTTCCAATAACAAAATCAAGTATGAAAAAATTATCTTTGTGTAATATTCAAATATACACTGGCAAAATTGATTTCTTTGGAGTTTGTTTGATTTTGAAACAAAATCGGTTTCTAAAGCTGTCTGCTTAGAAGTTGGCTTATTCTGAATCAACTCATTGACATGAACATTGATATCAAAGGAATATCACACAGGTCAGAGTCCTAATCCTGAGTTCCACAGAATGTGACTTTTGTTTGGAGTGGATATCTTTATAGAGGTAACCAGGCTAAAATAAGGCCATAAAGGTGAGACTCACATCATCATAAAACAGAAAAGTATGGACACCGGTGAGCACAGAGTGAGTGGCGTGAAATGACCACTAGACAAGCAGAAGCAGAAAGGAAGACCCAGAGAAGACCCTTTCACAACAACTCTCGGCTTCTGGAGCTGGGAGAAACAGATCTCTGCTGTTCTTAAGGCCAGGTAGTTTGTGGCACCCTTTGCTTTATTTTATTAGAGCCCTAGGGGAGTGATATGCAGTGCAGATTGTTTCCATCCGGGCTTCCTATTGAGCTTTTTCATGTGTTGTGAGGCAGAGAGTAACATGTAAAGCACACTGCTGTAGTTTTCTTGGAAAACTTGGACTGAACAATCTAGTCTGGTCTCCTGTGACCTACCCAGGGAGCGCTGGCAAGAGACACTTTCCTTCACTCTTTTCTCTCCACTGAGATGCAGTGGAGAAAGAGTTTAGAGCCAGACAAACCAGGGTTTGCTTCTCAGCTCCTCCTCTCACAGAGTGGTTTTGTCTTTCTTGGTTTCACATCCCCGGTCTCCAGCAATTGTACAGAGCCTTCCTCACAGTCTGGCTGGGGGAGTTACTTCAACGAGTTAGTTAAACCGCCCCAGTTCACTTCCTGCCACATGCTTAATGACTGTTGGCTGCTTCCTGCCTTCCTGGGAGGTCTTAGGTGCCCATCTGCACTAACTCTGTGGCTTTGATTCATCCGTTTGCCAACAACTGGTTAGAAAGTTGTGGACTATTGGGATGGAGAAATAGTGAGTAAAGAGCTTGCCTTGCAAGTGTGAGGCCCCGAGTCTGATCCTCGGTGCTCATGATAAAAGCCAGACTCAGGGGCACGCACTATAATCCCAGGGCTGGGTGGTCAGAGACAGGCAGGTCCCTGGTGCTCACTGGCTCAAGTCCTAGGCTAGTGAGAGGCCTTGTCTCAGAAAAAGGTGAACCTCACCCAAGGACCAGGTGACCAAGGTTGTTCTCAGGCCTCCACTTTCTCACACGTACATACGCACCCTCACCCACAAACACTAACACACACACACACACACACACACACACACACACCTTTTTCTCATTACACAATGTACTCATAGCAGTCACTCATCCTGACAGACAGGGATTTAAGCTGAAAATATTGAATGAAGTGAAGAGCCCTACTTGTCAGATGGATGAGATTCCACAAAATACCCAGCAAAGGGACAGTAGATTCGAGGCTGCAGGTCCTTCACCAGCTGAGCTTTGTAATTCAGAAGCTTTCTTCTTTCCGCCTTAATGAACTGGGCTTTCCATTCCTCTGAAATGACATGTTTGGGGTTAGTGGTCTCTGTTCAGAAGTCTTTGAAAGTGAATGCCCTAGCTCCCAGCTTCTTAAACTGGGCTATAACCCAGTGTGAGGATGGGTAGCTAAATGTGGACGTCATAAGAAAATCAACAGCTGTAAGTTTTCTGAGAAGTCAAAACTTAATAACCACACACACACACACACACACACACACACACACACTCACATGATGGTACTGCTCACCAGTGTTGTGCCTTGTGACATCACTGTTCATCATGTAATGTCACCGAAGCCTTGGTTCTGAGCACACAACAGATGTGCTTTGCGTTGGGCATGTCATCACAGGACACAACATAATCAGTTATGTGTGCTCTTGACCCACATTCGAAACTGCTGTATGCTATGAACTGTGTGTTTTTACTGTACACACCATCTTTTCTGCTCTTTCAGAAACAGTATTTAATTGTAGAGACTTTTCATGTTTTCTTAGCATCCTCCATAAGAATGTATGAAATTGCGTATCTTTGGATTGTATTGTGCCAGGGTGTTTGATTTTTAAAATTGCTGTTTGAGTTGTTGACTTGAGTTTCACAAAATTTAAAAGTTCAATGAATTTTGACTTGGGATCAGGACAGAATTTCCAAGAATGGATTAAATGGCCCTAAACATAATCCTGCTGTATGGTAATAGATATTTATGTGAATGTAATTCTCAGAATTAATCATAAAATCAAAATATCAATCAACTTTGAAAACTGCTGGAGAAACCCCACATCCTACTGTACAAATACTCAATATTAATTCTTTATATAAGTAACTACATCCATTTTGAGCCATAAAAATTTGCTTCTGTCTGTAATAAATACTAAATTATATATTGCAAAGAATTATTCTAAAATAAATGTGTTTATAATTTATTATTAGCAAATATTTGATTTGCATACTTATTTATATGCTTATACACTCAGGGTTGCATAAAAATTTCTCTGGTACCAGCGGATCACAAATGGAAAAGTTTAATAAATCTGTCTCTACTGGACAGGGACTTTCTCAGGAGAAAAAAAATGGAGGAATAACAAAGACAGAAGCAGAATTAATAACTGTGATACCGATGGAGATGCCAAATCAGCTTGATTTAGCAAATTTTAATTATTTACCAGGCGACCAGTAATCCACTTCTTGTTTGTTAAACTGGAGACTCGAATACAGGGTCAGCATGAATAGCCCCATTTTGTAGGCAAGCCCATCCTATGTACGCTGCAACTCCTACAGTCACTAACCGTTTACTACTGTATACGTGGCTATTGTCCTGGTACATCATAAAACTGAAATCTAATTTTATAACCTGACAACTCACAATGACTAAGACCACTAGTATGGTTGTTAGTCATAATTAGAATCAAAGCCCAGCCCACCACTTACAGAATTGAGTAAGTGACCTAACTTCTCTTCCCTCCTCTATTAGTAGACTCATTATAGAAACCTCACAAAGTTTCTCTCTCTCTCTCTCTCTCTCTCTCTCTCTCTCTCTCTCTCTCTCTCTCTCTCTCTCTCTCTCTGTCTCTCTCTCTCTGTGTCTCTGTCTCTCTGTGTGTGTCTCTGTGTCTCTGTCTCTGTGTCTCTGTCTCTCTGTCTCTCTCTTTCCTCTCTCCCTCCATCCTTCCCTCTCCTTCACACACCTTCTATGCTCCAGAGGTTCTCTGGGGAACTAAGCATACAGGACTGATATATAAGACTGCAAATCTTATGAACAAGAAATGGGAAGTACTCCCAAGGAGTCTTTTTGCTACTCAGAGAAGCCAGTTTGTGGTGGTGGTTTTTTGCTGTTGTTGAGACAGGGTTTCTCTCTGTAATAGCCCTGGCTGTCCTGGAACTAGATTTGTAGACCAGCTGGCCTTGAACTCACAGAGAACCGCCTACCTCTGCCTCCTGAGTGCTGGGATTAAAGGTGTGTGCCATCACCACTTGGAGAGCAGTCAGTTTTAACAAGGGAAATAAAGTGGGAATAATCCAGCAGGGCAGTAGAGTGGGGAGTGTCCGCACTGAGGTGGGGTGGCATGGTCACCTTTACACAGAGCAGTCAGGAAGTATCTGTGCTGAGGTGTGGTGGCATGGTCAGCCTTACACAGAGCAATCAGGGACCAGAGAGTAGCTGAATTGAGACACGTGGGAAACTGCTGGTCATGTCAAGTGTAGCAGGAAGAAGATCCCAGTGAATGAAAATAGTCAACATAACAAGCTGGGCCGGGGTAGACCAGGAGTGCTAGCCTGAGGACACTAACAGGCAGCAAAGGGGACCAGCTGAGCACACTGGGAGGCAACTGGTCAGAGAAGTTTAGGATTGATTAAACAGGACCTAGAGTTGCGGCTCACAGGGTCAGAGAGATGGTTGTATAGCCTTTGAAATTGAAACCTGATAGAGATAAGGACATAGAAAATATAAAAATTACACAACGCTTGACATAATCACTATCAATATATTTTACATACCTTTAAAATCCTTTATATACCTTTATAGATCTTTAAACATACTATGCACATATTTGTATTATGCACAAACACAGGATAATGCTAGTTGACCTTCCATAACTATAATTTTGCTTTCCTTATATTTGCCTTTAGCTATATTTTAACTCTTATGGACAAATGTTCCCTCTTTCTTTGGTGGCTATACATCTTGGGAGACAATGGATATAAAAGCATAGAAGGAAGCAATAAGCTAGCCGAGAGTGCTAGCTTCATTCTCTGGGTGGGGTATTTGAGCCACATTGTACCACAAGGCTCACTTACCAAACATCGTAAGCATTGTATCAAGGCTACAAAACTAAATAAGCAATCTCATAAATATACTTTCCTCATAGAAATCCCAACACTACCCTTGGATCCGGAGTAGAAGGGCTCCAGGATGGGAACCTATGCAGTAGAATCTCCTGCTCTGGCTGTGCCACCCATGAGCACTCCATAGGACCGGAAAGAAGCATCCACACCAAGTCCCACGAACTATATTCTTGACCTCATTCTAAGAACACTGAGGCCAGAGCCACCCACTCCATCCTTTCCTTGTCCCTCCCTGTGTTCCACACCGTGATTCTCTGTGACTGTCTTTCTTAGCTGCTCCTAGATTCTCCCTCCCCCAGGAACTCCTTCATCTCAGTGTTCCCAGAACACTCTACCACCACATTCTAAGCTGGAAACCTCAGTGTGTAGTGTCTGCAGTTCCTGTCTGGCTTTCCAATGGAGAGCATGCTCCTCTGAACAGGAACCACATGTTGATTATCTCTGTCCTTATTCTCACAGCATCCATCCAAACACCATGCCTGATGCTCAGTATCTCTAGGGTATAAATTATTACCAGTAAATTTTCCGCCACTGAAAGTCATTGGAAAGCCTGATGCTCCTCCAGCAAAATCACTCATCATTAGAGCAACTTTCTCAGGCAGCCTTCCCCCATTGGGTCTGGTGCAATCCACTGTGTTGAGTATTTTATGACCTGTGGGGAAACAACATGAAATCTCAAACCCTCTAACTTGAATGACCAAGACAACAAGGGTGTCCAGAGCAGTCTATATAATCTGATTCAGCTGATTATAGAAGAATTGATATGCCCCCCAAACCCAAACAAACTAAGCAGACAAACACAAAAATCCACAAAGAGGAAGCTGTCAGAGTCTAAAGTTTTTACAATATTCTGATTTCCAAGTGAAGCAGTTCATCCCTCTGGCTGAATGGGTTCTGGGTACCTCATGGATCATCAGCCTAGTGTCACTGTGTCTCACAGAATATTCCTGATCTCCAGATGCTAAAACTACAGAGACAGGTCAACACAGATGCCCCTATCTCTGGCAAATTCTATGTACAATTACATTCCAAGTGATTACTGGCTAACTGAGGCCATGCCTCGCTCGTGTTGACACTTTCTAGTGATAGTGGCCTTTCATTTTGTTTTGTTTTACTCTGCTCAGCTTGCTTTGCTCTTTGAGGCAGGATCTCATAGAGCCCAGGCTGGCCTGAACTGTTTAGCATAGATGGCCCTGAATTCCTGTTCTTCTGCTTCTACCACCATACCTAACAATATGATGAAAGGGACTCAAAACATTTATTCAACAATAAATTAATGATAGCATAGAAATGATATAAATATTGGTTCCCTTGTACTACAAGTTATGTAGCTGTCATGACAGACTCCTAAATACTGACAAATTTTCATTAAAAAGGATCTAAAGGTTCATTTTCCTAAGATAAAACCATAGAATGCTGTTTTCTCTTAAATGGCGAGAGCAGAAGATGAACCGAAGGTCAGTCAGTAGTCATCCTCTTTCCTGCCCATGGCATGACTCACTGCTCATTGCTTACGAGGAAGGGAAGTACCTTTGTACTCCACGATAATGCATGTGTCCATCTCCGGATGAACACCATCCATCAAGATCATAAACCGGAGACTTTTGTCTACCTGCAATCCAACAGTAAAACAATTATGTAAGTCAGTTCGATCTTAATTTAAAATTTGAGAAGCCTGTCATTTTGAGAAAGACTGACAAATCAGACCAAAATTTAAAGAAAAAACTACTTTATCTGGAACTGGTTTTATTAGCCTGTTAAGCATTTGCTAAATGGAAAGGAAATCTTTTAACAAAGCACTTATGTCCAAAAATGAAGCTTAAATACAGGTTTTCTTTACTATGTCTCATGTATAGACAAATGGGCTGCTGTCTATACACTTATGTACCACCTCAGACAGCATAATTAATCATATCTCTAACCTGTTGCCACACTCCAAATGGTACCACATTGATGTTAGTTAGCTGGACACCGCTCTGGTCCAGATTCCAAAACACAGGCCTTTCCGTGTCACCAACATAAATGGGAATATCTGGCCGTCTCTGGGAAAGCTGCTTCAGAGTGGGGTAACTAGAACAGAAGGATGAAAACAGTGAAAGGTTTAAAAAAAATGGGATTCATTAACAAGAGAACAGCATGTTGACTGAAAAGGAAGGAGTTGGAAATTAGCTTTTTGTGAGCGCTCAGGGATGGGTGCCTGCTCATACTAATGGCAACATCTCAGGAGACACCATTTCACAGTTAGAACATAGCACAAACCTTGGAATGGACACCAGTCAGGTGTGTGAGTACAATGTTCCACACCAGCATTGCTTTGAGTGGTGATTGAGTGGTGAGGCTAGATGGAGTGCAGAATATTGTTCATCCTTTGGAGGACTCGTTACCAGAGGTGCCATACAGTAAAATTTAATGGAGAGGATAAACATTCTAGTAATCTCAACTCTGTGTAACTAGTCATCCAGGTCTTTTCAACTGCTTATAATACATGAAAGCGATTTTCATTTCTATTGAGCATTCATCACATGAAATTTTTATGTAGCACTGTAGGGTACGGTAGAGAGGTGAACAAATGTATACATTCTATCACAGGTGTTACCAGATATTTTGATTCTTTTTCTGTTGTGTTTTTTGTTGTTATTGTTGCTTTTTGTTTTGTTTTGTGGGGGGTGTCTTGTTTTGTTTTGGTTGAGATAGGGTCTCATTGTATAGCCCAAGCTGACCCGGAGTTCCTAAGGATCTTCCTGACTCAGCCCAGTGGTCACTTGATTTTATTATATGCTCTGAGGATTTTATTTTTATAGATGAGAAAACATAGCCATATGTGTGCGAGTAATAAAAACAATAAACTGGTGTTGAAAATTTGGTTTTTCTAACCAAACCTAGCACTGTTTCCATTAGAAGACAGTTTCTGTTTTAGAATCAGACTAATGTCTGGGCATGGTACCACATGCCTGAAATCTACAGACAAATACATAAAAGAATCAGGCTATCATATTACATTACCATAAGCACGAACAAAGTATGTATACCAGTATATATCGCCTGTACTAACAGAACATTCCCACACTGAAGAACTTCCCAAATAAGCAGAACTTGTGAGTCAGGGAGGAAGCAGGTTTTCTTCCCTAAGCAAAAGATTTAAAAATTCCAGGATTCTTTTGACTTGCCTTTAATCTCTGGGTTCAGAAAACAAATCTCGTATCATAAAGAAGATTAGGACAACAATTACCTCCAAAGGGTTAATTTACTGCTTATAGCTGTGGCAGCATGAAAGAACATATCCCCATAGTCTTGACCATTTGAATATTGGTCCTTAGCTGGCAGCAGTTTGGGTAGACTTAAGAGTGTGGCCTCAGAGGAAGTATGTCACTAGGGTATTCTCTCTGCTTCATGCTCCCGGTTTAATATGTGGTTGTTCTAGCCACCACAACAGCCATCCCCTCATCCCACCCAGGATGAACTCTAGTGATCTGGAACTGTTAACTCAAATAAATTGTATCATCTATAAGTTGACTTGGTCACAGTGGTTTATCAAAACAACAAAAAAGCAACTAATAATGCAGTGGTTTTCTTACCCTCATCTGCTAATATAATGTAACAATACTATACTGACGTTATGAAATCACATTTCTTGGAACACTATTTGCCACACAACACTGTTTTCTCCCTTGTTTTCATAATTCTGGGAAGTTTTATTTAGAAAGTAAAGGTCAGACAGTGGGATTGGGGTAAATGATCTCAGTGGTTATTAATTGACCAGGAAAGAATCAAAATGAGAAGGGTTTTGTCACAGAGATAGAGTGAAAGAGGAAAAACTCACCAGTGTCAGTTATTTTCCACTGGCAAACACTCAGCTAATCTTTTACACAATGGGTGGTTAGGACACTGTACTTTTAACATGTAACAACTTTGCCTCAAGAGGCCCTGACACTGCTCTCAACTGGCCTGTCTGGCCAACAGCAAAGAGTGCCTTGACTAAAAGACATTTGAAGTTCTTATCCCTGTCCTACCATGAATTCAGTGTTGTCTAATAGAATGCCTCTCTTTAAGACTTGGGCAATTGGAAATGATATGTAATGCAATCACATCATTTGCATACCACTGTCATTCTTACTTAATATAACAAACTATACAAAATCATCAGCACACTTGGCGGTTATTACAAAACATGCATCCAGGGCTTCCACAGGCCTCAGATTAGTCAAGTGTGGTTTTAAGAACTAATTAAGGGCAAAAGAATTGCAATAGACAAAGTTTTGTAATATTGCGGTCTCTAGGGGTTAGACAGTTATGTGAGTTATAAGCAATATGTTGATTACTAATCCAGTTCATTCAAAAGTTAAACCACTTCCCATATATATATTTCCTCTAGTTTCACACCCTTTAGGGGTCATCCAACTAACAACCAACATTTTATCCTTAGTGGAGGCATTCTAGCAAAGTATATCCAGCATACACTTTATCATAAGGGTCACAGATAAAGGAGCTAAAGTGCTTGAGAAACATTGTAGGCACTACTAAGAAAAAGGGATCAAAAACGTACAAACAGCATAAAAACTGACACAACCCATAATTAAACACCGAGTGAAAATATGACCTGCCTTCTTCTGATAATTCATTCATTAAAAAAGAAGAATTTGTTGTTGTTTTAAGTGTGACTTCTGAATTGGAGGCTGTGCTTTCATCCTCCCTTCTGGTTGCCTGGATTCAAGAGGCATCCTTTGGGTTACTAGCACCATTCTCCATTTACAGGCATGATGGCTGGGCTAACTTGGGACTGGGCATTTGAGAACACTGTGAAGATGTTTTAAAACAGATCATAGCAGTGAAACATAGTGATCTTAGCACATGAGAAGCTGAGACAGAAAGACCCAAACCATCCTGGATACATAGCAAGGCTCTGTCTCAACAAACAATATGCCAGGGATACCAGTGTGTGAGCCAGACTTCTTGATTTTATTTTATTATTGCAAGATTATGTAAGATAAATGCAATAATATTTTATGACTCATGGAAATTATATCCATCACCAAAAGTTTTTTTTATTAATTCCTGCTCTCATTTGTGACTCCCTGTGAGTCTCCTGTCTCAATGGTAATGTTGAATGAGGTTCAGTATGTGTTTTATGGCTAGCCCAAAGGATTCTGGTTGTCCTTTATTAAAAGAAAAAAAGAATAGCTTTTTGTCATTCTTGAGACATTGTTGCTATATAGCCCACACTGGCATTGAGTTCCTGATCCTCCTGTGTTGCTAGAGTTTCTTTTCTGCCAGGTCTTGCAGTCATTTTGCCCCACATAAGCACACAGAGACTTATAATAGTATATAAAACTGTTGGCCAATGCCTTAGGCTTCTCATTGACTAGCTTTGACTTAATTATTAACCCATTTAACTACCAACCTATGTATTTCTACGTAGCCTTATCTTACCAGAGGACACCTGGCACATCCTATCCTCCTGCTCTCTACATGGCGTCCCTTTGCAGCACCTCTCTGCCTACCTTTCCTAGAATTCTTCTCATCTCCTAGTCCTGCCTATCTTCCTGCCTCTATTGGCCAAACTGTTTTATTCATCGGTCAATAAGAGAAACATATATACAGAAGGACATCCCCCATCACTCCTGCCTCAGTTTTTCAAATGCTGAGAACACTGACCCTTTACAACAAATATATGTTGATTTGTGCTATAAATTTTGAACTAAAAGAAGGTCACTCTGGTGGGCTTTATGCCTGTTCATTGTTCCAAGTAAGACAAAATAAAAGTCTGCAAGGTGTTATCCATAATGCTCCTTTGTTATTCCTATTGGTATAAACTGTGGAGCACTTTTAAAATTAAAATTGTGGTACATGTACAAAAATGTACTTTTACTTTTCTTCTTTTTCATAGTCCTAATGGGGCAAATCAGAGTGGGCAGTGATTGTAGAAGAATCTAAAAACCTTTTATAAGCAAGGCATAGTGGAATGTGTCTATAAACCCAGCATTTGGAAGTAGAAGTATAAGGATCAGCAGTGTAAGGGCATCCCTAACCTCACAGTGAGTTCAAGGCCAGCCTGAACTTCTTAAGAACCTGTCTAAGAAGCAGAGCAACAACCCACATGAGCCCACTGATACCTATAGTTCAGCCACTGTGTTAGTTATCTCAGGAGTTGGGTGCTTGGGTTCATTACCTCAGGTGGTCTGAGTGCATGTGACTGATGTAAATGAGATCTGCTTTGCACAGCCTCTCGAGCCAGTCAGATGGAGGCTCATGTAGCAACCACCATCCTCGGGCAAAAGCAGGGCCAATTAACCAAGGGTCAAACACCATCCGCTTGTCTCCCAATTTGAGGTCCATGCAGGCATGAGTGAGATATGTTATCTGTTAGAAAAGAGTGAGATTCCTGTTATGATCAGGTTACTGGTCAGCCACAATGGCTCAGGATGTTTCTCTAACAAGGTCAGGCCAACTCTGCCTCAGCTTCAACTGCGGGCACGCAGAGACAGAACACAGCCCCTCCACAGACTGTCAGAAAAGTTCCTGGTGTCAAGCCAACAGATGCACCTGATTTTACTCTCTTTAAACCAGATCCTCTGTGTTTAGGTATTATCTGGCCAATCCAAGCAGCAACAGTTTCCAAGATAAAGCAGTTAGAAATGTTAGGACTAGCATTGAGGAACATAACATGCCAGTGTGGTATCAAGGCATGTTGATTACATGATTCCTGATTAGTTTGGTGGATTGGAACAACTGCAGACCGGAGTGACATCAGGCAAACTGAATTGTATGGTTTTCTGCACTACATTCCCTTCTTACTACCTGTGTATGTACCAAGGGCCTCTAAGAATGGGTATCAATAATGACTTCTAGACAGACACGGGTAGGGGAATTCTAAACTCATTCCTCATCCTCCTGTTTCCCCCTGCCTGGCACATCCACAGATAGGGGAATTTTAAACTTATTCTTCACCCTCTTGCTTCCCCCTGCCTGGCACACCCACAGACAGAGAACACATGGAGGACTAGAGATAAGATAAGAGTCAGTTATGACACAAGGAACAGTCAGGAATCAAATTCCTTTTTATTATTCCTGAGTGCAGTCTCATTTGTCTCAAACAAAGCAAAACAAAAACAAATAAACAAAATAGTTGTCCAAATGCACACAGTTTCCTAAACATACAGAATATATATGGGAGATAAATCTGAGTAAGTGATAAAATGACATTTCCGAAAGTACCACTGGAAGAGAAACATATAGTCCAAGCACAGAGGGTCAATATATATATTTGTGTGTTTATCTTCCCCAAACTTCTGAAGTATTTTCTTTAGAGGAACATGCCCTGAAGGTAGAAAATGCATCAAGACTTGCAAAAGACTCAGGTTGAGGTACAAAAATACACAGCTTGTTATCTGTCACAGTGGGAATACAGATTATTCTCCAAAGGTTCCATGCTTGAAACATGGTAGTCAGCATGGATATGTTGAGAGTGCATGGGATCTTTAAAAGGTGGAGCCTGGTATGAAGTCATTAATTCATTAGGGGCAGAGATTGTAGAAGAGATCAATGTAGTTAGTTACTGCAGGATTACAGGATCTCAGGATCTGCCAGTTCCCTCAAGAATGGGCTTTCATGAGGGGACTGGCATGTCCCTCCACTCATTGTTCTGCATGTGTGACATGTCACTTTTATGCACACTCCTGCCATTGTTAGTCCACCCATCACCAGATCTGGGCACATGCAAACAATATGCTTTTGAAACTTTCAAACTATGTTTTAAATCAGCCTCTTTCCTTCATAAAGTTCCTAGCCTCAAGTATTTTATCATCAAAGCACTAATGATAAACCATCTTATCCAGAAACGTTCAGACACTACAGGTAGTTCCTGAATATCTTCCAACTGTTTTACATGGCTCTTCTAAAACATGATTTTTGTAGGTCGAGTGTGTGTGTGTGTGTGTGTAAAATGTCTCTCTATATAAATATAGGTGTGAAGATATGCAAATATACATATGAAGGAAATCTTAGTTTTATTTTATTAGGAATATTATAATTTTAATGTTTTCTTACCTGTACTTCCCCAAAAGCCAACTCTTCAGGAGATCTGGGATCAGAGTCCCAAGGATTAGGAGGATTCAGTTCTATAAGGAAAAGCCCATTGTTTTCATCCATTTCGACAACTAGAACCAAAGGGAGATAAATCTGAGCAAGTGATAAAATGACATTTTCGAAAGTACCACTGAAAGAGAAACATATAGTCCGAGCACAGAGGGTCAAAATTACACTCACAACAGGAGAGAATACTCACTGATCGCAAGGCACACACGACAACAGCTGATGCTGCTCATATCCTTATTCACAAACACTTAAGGAACTCAAGGGATCGCAGGCATGTTTGACAGATACACATCCACACAACTGCAGTGCAATGAAACCATTGAAAGAGAGAATGCCAAGGTGCTGAGAGAATATACAAGAAGGAACTCCTAACCGGATTTCAAGTCACTCAAGTTAGACTTGTGAGATGAGATGACTGACAGATGCAAGAAATAAGCCACAGGCAGGCGGCATGATGAGTGGCGTCATGCAGAGGGATGCCAGCCTGGGAAAGCTCAGAATACACAAAGATGGGTCACATATCCATTCCAATCACGAGCCAAAAGAAATCTCCCCTCTCTCAAATTGTTCCTTGTCAGGAATTTGGTCACAACAATAAGAAAAGTAAGTAAATAATTCCCAATAACAGCTTTAGCTTTCTTTTCTTACAGTATGTTTGATTGGTTTTGGTATCAAGTTATTACTGCTTACTTAGCTGGTCTGAAACAGAATCATATATGACCAAGTGAGATCGATGCCAGAATGGTTCAATATTTGAAAAATGTCATGATAATTCAATATTCAAAAATCAATGGGCTACATCATATTGGCAGAAAGAAAGGAGGAAACACATGAGCATCTCAATGGTTACAGAAAAGATATTTGACAAAATACAGCATCCTTTTATGATTTAGAAGAAACTGATAGGAGACAGAGAGTAGCAAAGCAGGTCCTCAACCTGAAAAAGGACAGTTGAGAAACACACAGTTGCTTTCACTGTGAGAGCAGAAACAGAACCAGGAGGCTCTTCTCTTGCCACTTCTGCCTGGAAATGCAAGAAAATGAAGTAAAAGACATTCAAATTAGAAAGAAGTTAAGCTATCTGTATCCACAGAGGACATGATCCTAAATATAAAACATCTAACATATTTAACACGGGATTATAGGATTAATAAGTGAGTTCAGGATGACTACAGATACATGTTCAGTATGAAAGTCAATACTTCTATACATAGCAATGAGCAATCTTAAAACTATGCTTATAGGATGATCAAAAAGAATAAAATACTTATGAATGAATTTAATAAAAGTAGTACAAATTTTCCACAGAGCCATGATAAGAAAAAAAACCAGGATGTTACAAAAACACATAGACAAATGGGTCAGAGTGAAGAACTCATATAAACCCACTTAGCTAGAAGCAGTTCACTTTTTGACAAAGATACCAAAAATATACGTTAGTGAAAAGAAAATATCTTCAACAAATAGTGCTGATAAAACCGGATACCCACTAGTCAAGAATGAAACCAGATCGCCATCTTTTACTCTAATGAAAATTAACCCAAAAGGATCAAATACCTTAATACAGGATCTGAAACAGTGAAACTGCTAGGGGAAAGAGTAGATGAAAGAGTCCAAAACGTAGATGGCCATGGGCATGACGTTTCTGAATAGGACTCCAGTCTATCAGGAAATGGCACCAGCAGTGGACAAGTAGAACTTCATGACATTAACAAGCTTCTGCCTAGCAAATGAAGCAATTTGGTGAAGAATGGCCACAGACTAGGAGAATATATTTGTTCACTCTACTTCTGGCAAAAGAGCTATACCTAGACTTCCGAAGAACCAAAAAAGCTTACCATTGAGAAACCAAGTACCCAAACAATAAATGAGCTAGTGAAAGGAGTGGGCAGTTCTCCAAAGATGAAAAGCAAATGATCAATAAGCACAAGAAAGCAAGGCCTTGTCTCAAACAAACTATCAATAAATCAGGTAGGTCTAGTGGTTTAAAATCAGAACAGATCCAAAACTTGGAGATTGGAAGCTGCCAAAGTCTCCCCTCCCCCGGCCCACCCTGGCAGGAAGTATTGATGAGTGTTTACCCAGCTCGTCCTGACAGAAGCTCCCTGGAGGGTTGATGTACTTCATGGTGCTCACATCTAACTTCCAGTTGTGCTTTGTGCATTTAACGGACCTGGGGGTGTGGGGGGGATGATAGTCAGCTATATGACACAGTGAAAAGAGAATTAGTGCTGATGAGCAGAATGGCAACTCATGACAGGGAAGTCAAAGCAATTGATGGAATGCAAAATACATGAAAAAGAATCTATGAACAGATGACACGGCGGGGGGGGGGGCAAGGAAATACTGGCTAATCATCAAGCAATGTTTTTAAATGTGAAGATCAAGCCTGTGTGTTAGAGACAACAGAATGGTCTTCAAGGTAAGTAACATTGTCCTGGGTCAGGGCTCAGAGGAACGGTCAGTCTTGAATGAGGTTGATCAGACACAGGCTCTAGGGGAAGAAGTGAAGGCTGGCCAGGGGTAAAGCAACGGCTGTACCCAGATAAGCAAGGTGATGATAGGAGACCACACCCTTGCAGACAGCCCATTCTGCTCAAAAGTCCATTCTCATAACATTGAAGTAAGGTTCAGCAAGAACGTGCTTATGGATACGTGTGACTTATCCACCTGCAACCCTTCACCTCTAGTGTTCAACTAGTTTCGAATCCCAAAAATGTTTCCCTAGAGTTTAAGGTTTGAGAGTATGATTACTGGATCAGATACAGTATACTCAGATAAACATGAATTTCAGACAAAGCAAGTATATTTCCTTTTCTTCTTTCCTTTCTTTAATTTTTCAAGACAGGGTGTCTTTGTGTAGCTATGGCTGTCCTGGAACTCTATTTGCAGACCAGGCTGGCTTTGAACTCACAGAGATCCACCTGACTCTGTCTCCCAAGTGTTGGGATTAAAGGTGTGTATCGCCACATATGGCTAAAAGTGAATATAGTTTTGAATGCAGGTCTCTCATGATATTTACAAGATATACTAAAATTTGTTTTTATCAATCATTATTTAGGTGAGTGTTCTACATTTCTATTCACTAATTTAATTCCATTTCAGAATAAGTTTCAGACTAGAGCAAGCAGGAGACTTCCTAGAGGAGGTGCTGTGCAATTTTTGCTATTTGCTTGAACCAACTTCCTTCTTCCCTTCCTTCTTGCTTTCTCCCTTCAACTTTTTTGAGATAGGATCTCATGTAGAGCAGGCTAGCCTTGACTTTACCACGTAGCTGAGGATGACCATGAACTCCTAATCCCGATGCCTCCTCCTAAGTGCTGTCATTACACATGTGCTCCACCATGTGTGGTTCACTCTGCCTGGCTCAGTCTTATTTTAGTTTTTTGTTTTTCAGTCAGAATTCTGTTCTGTAGCCCAATCTGGCCCCAAATAAATAGGACCCCCTCCCCCCTCCCCCCCCTCCGTCTCAGTCTCCCAAGTGCTGGAATCACAATCGTTAGCTACCATATCCAGTTTCCTTTCATCTCCTCAGAAAATAAAGCTTGCCAGACCTGGCAGTGCTCATACAAACCGTTTCTTTCCTTATCTTCATAAGTTCCTGCTGACATTAAAGAAGCAAAGACTTTTTTAACCAAGGAGTGTCTCCTGCCAGTAGCATAATTTTGGGAAGAAATGAAAAACATCTATTTAAACTTATAAGCATGTCATGGTGATACTTCTAAGCGTCATTATACCCAGAATTTTTAAATCTTCATCACTGGTCAGTTAGAATGTACAGTCTGTAGTTTGATTTATGAAGGATTACTTTGTGACCCTTCCTTTAAGGTGGACATCAACCTCTCAAAATTAGGATGAGACATTCACTCCAAATAGAAATGTAGAGCATACTAGGGCCCAAGAGGGAAAGCTGGCAGAACTAAGTGTAGTTGCAGGGCAGCTTGATTGGGGGGGGAGCAGGAGTGGGGCAAGAGAAGATGCAGGGGCATAAGAAAGGAAGAGGTGGGAAAGGGCTAGGAGGGGACAAGAGAGAGATCGAAGGGGACAGGTGGGCACGAGGAGGACTCCACTCCACACACAGAAGCTATGAAAGCATGTTCGATTTTAGGACATGAGATGCACAGCTCCTAAGATTGTTGCTCTTGGTTATGTGTCAGGAAGAAAACTGACTGAATGGCAGGTAGGAATGGACTGTGCTTGAGTGTGCCCTGGAAAAGATGTCTCTCTGAGATTGGTAACTGCACAGAGGGCTCAAGGCAAATGAGAGCTATCAAAGGCATACAGTTTAACTACTGAGCAATGAGCTCTACAAAGAATAAAATGAAGCACGCCTAGCTTCCTTATGAAGGTAGCAAAGAGAATGGGTATATGGGCTAGGGAATGGCTCAGTGGGTGAAGGGCTGGTCACACAAGCAGGAGAACTTGAGTCTAAACCTGCACTGATGCAAAAACCTGGGAGTGACAGCGTGCACCTATAACCAGCACTGGGAAGGTGGAGACAGGAAGATCCCTGGGGCTTCCTAGCCTGATGTGTGGCCTAATCGGTGAGGTCCAAGTTCAGTGAGAGACTCAAAAAAATCGCATGTATTGTAAAACCTTCCATCAACATCTGCCCCCCTGTATGTGTGCACGTATGTGTGCACGTGCGTGCACGCACGCACACACACACACACACACACACACGTATATATGTATTCACACAAAACAGGGCTAAGCTGCTGGCAAAGTGAAAGTAAGATGAACCACCTTAAGGTTTTGTATTAGACAAGAATGGCTGATCTGTGGTGTGGAACTCACCATATTTGGGTGAGCAAACTGAATGCAAAAACAATCAGTTCTTCCAGATAATCTGTGTATTCAGACCACACAGGAAGTTCATGGCCCCACAGTAAGAATAACAACACTGAGCATTCATTGGCTGTTCATCACATACTACAGGTGATGATCTACTTTTTGTAGGTTTTGAGTGAGTGGGTGATTCTTTCTGTGTGTGAATATGTACATGCAAGTGTACAAGCCAAAAGTCACTATTAGAAGTCTTTCTCAATTTTTTCCATTTACTTTTTCCCTTTTGAGATTTTATTTTTAATAAGCCTTATATTAAAAACCCTTGCAAATAAATTTTAAAAAAATCACACATCAAAATTATCCAGAAAGTCTATGCAACTTAATGAACTTATATATAGTTAAAATTGACATTCAGAATAGAATGTAAGCTTCAGTCTTACATTTTCAGTATTGAATATATTTTATGCATTTATTCACTATCCAAACCAAAACATCCATGGGAGAATTAGAATTAGAATAACAATTAGCTTCATATCATCTTTTATAACATGTCTATCATTTGCAGTCGCTCCTTCCTCATTATTTCCATGTATTCTTTCTGAGACAGGGTCTCTCACTGAACTCGGAATTCATTGATTACATTAGACTGGCTTGCTAGGAAGCCCCGGGGATCCTCCTGTCTCTGCCTCCCCAGAGGTTGGAGTTGCAGGCACATGCCAGAGTGCCTGACTTTTTACATAAACACTGGATTTGAACATAGGTCCTCATACTTCAACAGCAAACATTTTAGCTTCTCAGAAACCTGATAAAGGAGGTGCTATTTTCATTTTACAGATGAGCAGACTGAGGCTGAGAAAGGTTATGAACTTGCTCAAGGTTATTTCTGAGCTGGTGAGTGGTGAGGCAGGATTGTAATGCAGGCAGGCAGGGAGGAGAGATCACACTGTAGCACTTAGCTTTCACACCCCCCCTAAGTGGTTAGTTAAGTGTTGAAAGACAAGAAATTCAAAGTCTCCCAAGGACAATCAGCAAGAGAAAAAACCTCTATCCACCCTGAGTTCTGCACAAATCTACTAGAGACAGAGGAGATGAGATTCCCTCAGAAGAAAGCCAACAGACAGGCCACCCCTGCCTCTCCGCTGGAATATTACCTACACCTTTTTACTACAGGTGCGGCAGATTAAAGTCTAATAGCATGCACATGTAATAACATGAACTGTGAAACTGCATGTGTAATCACACAAATCTGTGGGTAGATGTGCAAATGTTCCTACATTTGGGAATCGTCCTCAGCACAATGATAGGGGGACATTCTTGGACAACTCCTCAGCTCCCTCTAGCACTGAACTATCCATACATGACCAGAGGAATAAGATCAATGGCACGAAGAAAGAGAAAGGCCCAAATCCCAAGGACTCAGGCCACCCAGACCAGGACAGGCTGTAGAGTACTATGGAGCAGTGCTTCTGAACGTTTCTAATGCTGTGACCCTTTAATACAGTCCCTCAAGCTGTGGTGACCCCCAAGGATAAAATTATTTCCTTGCTACTTCAGAACTGTAATTTTGCTACTGTTATGAATTGTACTGTAAATATCTATGCTTTCTGATAGTCTTGGGAGACCCCTGTGTGAAAGGGTTGTTCGACCCCAAGGAATCACGACTCACAGGTTGAGAACCACTGCTCTGAAGGGTTCGGCATCCATACAGCAACTGGTGCTGACAGAACAGATGCCCCAGAATCCTCTTTAGCTGTGCCAGATAGTTTCCCAAAGCCAAACAACTCTGTCCTAACATTGCTGCTGCCTGAGGAGAGATGTTCTACATGGAGATGGAGGCTGGCAAAAGCATGGCCTCTTAGAAGGAATAACCAGACCACTCCTGCTAGGATGGGGACAGCTGGAAATCCGTCTTTTCAGTAAGCAGGGCTCGGCTGACAGAAGAATTCCATATACTTTCCAGCAAGGTTTGAAAAGGGCTCTCTGCCTCTCTGTCTCTGTCTTTCTCTGTGTCTCTGTCTGTCTGTCTGTCTGTCTGTCTGTCTGCCTCTCTCTCTCTCTCATGAGTGTGAGTGTGTGTGTGTGTGTGTGTGTGTGTGTGTGTGTGTGTGTGTGTGTGTGTCCTGGGAAAAGAAAACTTCTAGAAGACTTGAACCTTTGATGAATGCAATACTGCATCCCGAACATTTCCATACATGTACACATACTCTGGAATCTAGGTTACAATAGCTAGGGTTGTCAAGCTAAATTAGAGTTCTTAGAAAGAGAGAAGAGAAAGGAAAACATATAATTTTTAAGCCAGGAACCTGTCCCAACAAAACAAGAGGAAAGCTTTCTAGAAGCAATTCGCTGATTGGTTGGTTTACAATGTCTAGATGAGCACATTTCCTGTCAAATCTAACTGCAAACAGGGTCCCTGGCAAGAGAGCAAAGGACCCGTGGTACCTTCCATCTAAGTCCTCGATGTCTTTTATGAACAGGCCTCCTTGGTGCTTGCAGAGGTTCTTGCATGCCTTTAGGTGGCCCTTCTCCTTGTATAAGATGTATTCTTTGCCAGTAGTTTTATTTCGAAAAAAATTGATTCCTTCCTTGAGGTTGGCAGTTTCAGCAGGTGACAGAGACAACAGTGTCTCAGTTGTCTGTTTCCTGCGAGGGAGGGACAGCATTATGAGGAGCATTAGTGGTGCTGGCTTTGAAAGAATAAACATTCTGAACGGACAGCTCAAAATTTCATCTCCCACAACCCCAAATCAGTGGCTTTCTAATAGAGCCCTGCTTGCACCCTTTAAATGCATGTAAATGTGCATTCTGCTGTCCTGCAGAACCGGGCCCTCTCTCACTTGCCTGTCCATTGCTGCCAGCTCCTGGGTTTTCCAAAGCAATCGCTGGGGTTCCTTCTACTTCTTCAGCTCTTTTGCTCCCACCAGGAAGGTGAAGAAGGCGTTAACTGCTTGGAGAGAGAATGTTTACAAAGTTCACTATTTCCGTTGATAGTTGATAGTTTTCTCTCTCCACGCCCCCTCTCCTCTTTTAAAAGCCTGGGTCTTCAGTTCAGTTTTCCCTGGCTCCCCTTCCTCAGCCACACAGAGAGTTCAGGTCCTCCAGGATTGCCATCAGCCTGTAGGTTGCGCCTCCTTGGCTAAGCCTCCTGGATCCATCCCTGTAACTCCACCCTCGGGGCACTGAAACAGCACTTGGTAGGCTGCCTGATCCCTTTATATGTGTCCACTTTAAAAGCCCCGTCTTCAGTTTCCTCTTCCATCACTTAGCTCGCTGCCTTTCCCATGCTGTCTTCATCGGTTAGCTATTTAACAAATTAACCCTCTCAGGCACTAAGTTTGAAGGATCTGCAGAAAATATCAGCAACAAAGGAAATATATAAACACCAAATTATCTCCTCTCATGTTGCCGTTAAAAACGAACCCAAGTGTACATGGGAATGATTTCACTTTCACTCTGTAAGTGTCTTGAACTAGATGGTAAAAATAATTGGGGGGAGGAGTGGCAGGGTGAGGAACGCAAGCTATTTCCAATTCTAAACACAGAAGGCACAGCTCTGGGACAGATACACATCCCACCGCAGAGCCACTGTCATTTCTGTCCTAGACTCCTCCCAATTCTCTTTGTAGCAGATGGAGCATTATTCCAGATACATTTTAAGGGAATATGGTAGGAAGGAATCCATTCCAAACCCTGTGAAGCACTTTACTGACTTTTTACAGTGTAGAGCGCTAATAGCCACTTAAAGCAAGCACGGGCACCATGTTTGTAGTGGGTAAAGGTGCTCAGAGAAACCATCTTCAGATTCTGTGATCTTCAGATTACTTGATTGAATGGATCACAAAACCCACATTCTGTGTTAGAGTCCAGGTTGTGTCACCCACTGAAGAAAGCAGGTACAATGAACTGCACCTCTTTCTATCGTCACATGCAGCCACACTGGAGAAAAGCTACTGGTACTTACTCCAATACACAAGTTAGTTTTTGAGACTTATGGAACCCATTCTGGTCTCAAACTCATCATGTAGGCAATGGCTGAATCTCCTGCCTCTACCTCCCAAGTGCTGGCTTTACAGGTGTTTCTACCTTGTGCACTGACATGTACATGTTCTTATGTGTGTTTTTGGCATTTTGTTTTACTGTAAGTACTTTAAAAGCTATCATTACTTCTTAAAATCAGAAAAATGAAATTATTCTAAATTATAGCTTGAGTGCAAATACTTACACTAAGTTTTAACAATATGCCTTTTAATGCTTTGAAATTTTCAAATAGTTTATCATTCTTTAAAAATGGCCGTTAGAGGCTGGAGAGATGGCTCAGCGATTCAGAGCTCTGCTGGCCCTTATAGAGCACCCAGGATAAATTCCCAGCACCCTCATCATAGCTGATAACTATCTGTGTCTCCAGTCCTAGGCCTTGATGCTCATGGCCAGAAGCATGTGCACATATGCACTAAATAAATAAAAATTTCAATGAGTGTTTAAAAGAGACAGGAATGTGGCTCAGTTGATACAGTGTTTTCCCTGAAGGAAGAAAACCCTGGGTTTGATTCCCAGCACCCAATAAACTGAGCATGGTAGCACATACCAGAAGACAAAAGGGTCAGAGTTCAAGGGCATCATCACCTATATAGCAGATCAAGGCCAGTCTGGGCTACAGGAATCCCTCCCCCATTAGTTACTTATATTTTTGATGATTAATTATGACCTAAACTATGAACTAGTTATAAGTCATCTTCATAAGCAGTCTGTGTATCTCATCTAAATTGTCTGCTAGAAATTCCCCCATCATAAGATGACAGCAAATCAACTCAAGAAGTCGTTAGGAGCAGTAGCTGTTGTGGGGTTGTGTGCCTAGGACTGTGAATAGGATCCCACCCCTGGGCTCTGTTGCAAGCCTGGATGGGAGCCATGGCTCTATGCATACACCCATCTGATGGGCAGAGATTGCTCCGTGAGGGTACTACCATGACTGGCCCAGTCAGAAGCCATCCCTGCTTTTCTGCTACCTGCAGGGATGGCTCAGACAAGATGGAGCAGATGTCTAGAAGTCAGGGATGCACCACACCCCCTGGCACCTAATAAGCAAGACCCTCAGGTGCGGGGGCAGCCACAGCTCTCCCCATCCAGTCACACCCTGACTGAGAGGAGTCAAGTGACAGAAGCACTGGTTGCAGGTCTCAGTTGAAGCCTTCTGGCCCCCTTAGAACAGGACCTGGACAGCAGAGGGGTCACCTCAGTTGCTATGTATTGGGACAATGACAAAGGAAAGCTGAGCAAGGAGGTATCAGCACACAGTTTGGGATCCATCCATGTGAGAGGCCCTCAAATATCCGAAAGGAGACTGGAAAGTGCCAGAGTGCAGATGGCTCAAGTTTAAAAGAGCCCTTTGCTTGTATGATAAGGATGATTGACTTTTCTGCCCCAGAGCTTGATGGGGTCTCAGCACAGAATGTTGATGGTTATTTGCAACATGAACCCCTTTGAACTCTTGTCATCTCCCTAAATAATCACATGAATTCTAAGTGCCCTATTTCCCTACAAGTGGAATGAGGTTAAAAGTGAAAACATTCCTAATAAACGACAAGAGGTACAGTGTGTCGGAGTGTTGGTGCATGAGGTTAGGAGGCAGGGGCAGGGGGATTGCTGTACATTCATGACAAGCCTGGGATACAAAGCAAGATCCTGTCTCAGAAACAAACGAAAAAAATTGGATGCACTGGCTGTGTTAATTAGTGGTTTATACACATTCCCCCCTCACTTTTTAATCATTAACAGTATTTTGTGTATAAATGAATAAGGTAAATTAGGCAAATGTTTTTAAAAAATTACCACATTAGTTATCATCATAAAGTGCTTACTTTAACATAGACAATGTTACTGATTTACTACTTCCATGAAGTGTAGCAAGTTAGATGTGGTGGTTCACTTCTGTTATCTCAGTACTGAGAAGGCTGAGGCAGGAGATCATGAGTTCAAGCCCTGCCACAGCTACATAGTAAAACTCTGTTTCCCAGAAGGAGGTTAGACATAGCACCATGAGTGATGCTTTGGGAATTTATTTTGAAAACCCAAAATCTAGAGCCATGCTGGATGTGGTTGCACATATCTATAGTCCCAGCACTTAGGAGGACAAAGCAGGGAAATCAGGAGTTCAAAGCCAGTTACATACATATCAATTCCAAATCAGCCTGGACTATAGGATGAGACACTGCCTCAAAAAGTAACAATGTAGGCTGGGTGGTGGTAGCCCACACCTTTAATCCCAGGGCTCAGGAGGCAGAGGCAGGCAGATCTCTGTGAGTTCAAGTGCAGCCTGGTCCACAGAGTGAGTTCTAGTACAGGCTCCAAAGCTACAGAGAAACCCTGTCTTGAAAAACAAAAATAAGCAAAAAAAAGAATAGTCTCTAAAACTAACAATGTAGAGCTCATAATAATATAAAAAGAAGAAAAGTTCTGTCATGCTTTGAGGCTGTTGCAACCATAACAGTCACTCTAGAGTAGTGGTTGTCAACTTGCAAGTAACAATCCCTTTGGGGTCAAATGACCATTCATCTGGGTTGCCTAAGACCATCAAAAACAACAAAAAAAAACAAAAACAGTATTTACATTACAATTCAATGCAGTAGCAAATTACAATTATGAAATAGCAATGGAAATAATGTTATGGTTGGGGGTCACCACAACACAAGGAGCTGTATTAAAGGGTTACGGCTTTGGAAAGGTTGAGAACCACTGCTCTAGAGGACAATGGTCATGGCTTCTAGCTCAGGGTTGAAGATAAAACAGTGATAAGAATATCAGAGAAGCTGTGCCCAGTAGATCAGGAGGCTGTAATCAAGGTACCTCTCATAAACCAGGTAATCCTCCAGGGGCTGTCACAGAAAAGGAAATGGAGGGAAAGAATTGTCAGTGTAAAGGACCATATTCTTTTTAAATTTACTTTTTCATAATTTTAGAATCTTTGTGACCACAATTCCCACTTCTATTATCCTCTCTTATCCATTACCTACCCCCCCAAAAGCCCCTCCTTCTCTCCTAGGCCCTCTCCTTCATTTGTATCTTTTTCTTTTCTTGTGGCCCACTATATTGTGAGGTGGGATAGAGGGTTGTTTACTTGAGCAAAGGCTATGTCACTGAGGAATACGACCTCCCATCCCAGAAACCATTAATAGCCTATTGTCAGGTCCAAAGGAAACTCCCTCAAAATTTGGCACCCATTCTCCTCTACAAATGGAGTATTTTCTGTATCACTGTCAAAAGAGGCAAATGGCTATCCGTGTGCCTATTTGCACACCAAAGCCCATGCTGGCCTCACTCAGTGTTATAAGTACCAGTGGTTCTTCTTCAGCTCTCCTCATCCAACGCCTACCCTAAATTTCTCTAGCTCATGGGCATCCTTCCCCCAGCTTCTCATTGCCTTGTAACACTGCTATTATGACTATATATTATCTTGGTCCCTTCTCTCTTGCCCTCTCTCTTGGTCTTCTTTGCCCTCACTCTCTTTGTCTTTGCTCTTCCTTGTCCTCTCCTCTCATGGTCCAGTCCAACCTGCTGGCCATGTTGAGTGTGCTACTCTCTCTCTCTCTGCTGTGGACTCTTTCAGATGCCTCTGGCCATACTCTCCCTCATATCTACTATAGAAACCTTCCCCTTAATCACAAAATAGTCATGTCCTCATCTGGTGCTGAAACCTCCGGGTGGGTCATAAATAGACAGACCCATTTCCAAGGGCCTGACCCCTTCTAGTTGAACCAAGCTGCTGATTTGGCTCTCCTAAGGTATGTGTGAGTCATTTGTTTCTGCTGTCTTCTGCACCCACCATACTTGAGCCTGCCTCTTTAGCCACTACTTCCCTCCACCTGGTATGCTTCTCCACTGTGATTCCTAGCATCTCTCAGTCTCTGACGCTTGGAGCCTGTGATGCTCTCCTGGGCACTGTCACATGCAAAGGCTTTGTTTCTCCTTCCACCTGCTGGCTCCTCATCTACTTGGTAACTATTACCTCAGAACTGCCTGTGTGTCTCAGTTGACTCAATGGAGCCTACTATTAAGACAAAAGCCACACTGGTGTGCTGGGAAGCTCCTCTTGCCCCACTGGGCCCCCATTACATGGAAGGTGCACAGCTCTCTTATGATTTGGGACATTTATTTCTGACAAATCTCTCAGTATGCTTAGAGATGCCACACCCCAACTGAAATTCTTATCACCAGGATACTTATCCTTCTCTCTCCCTTCTCACATGTTCTCAGCTTCCTTCTGGAGCTTTCTCATCTCTACCTAGGAACTGCCCATGTCTGTGTCCTTGCCATTTGCCC